TTTTCTTTCTTTCTAAGTAGTTACTCACCTACTTAACCTACTTCTTCTTTGCGCCACCCTACCCTTTGGACTTGAGACCCAGCCAGATCCTGTGGCCAACCCGGTAATACGGCTACCATTGGAACCAAACCTCTTACTCAGGTTGGCAGGGCACTAACTGTGTACCTCTCTAGAATTCCTTTTCAACTTCCATGCGTACTATCCAGCCCCGGAGTTGCTTGATTTCGCTTCATTTTCGCTCTGCCTTATTAACACAAAGAGGACTCTCTACGTGTTGCTTTCCTCTTAGAATCTGAAACCTTCTTTCCCCCTTCCTTCTCTTTTTATTCTCCATTTCTCTTCTCTCCCTCCCTCGATCGAGTCGTTTCGAGTTCCCACCTATGAAGATCAACACGCTTGGTGTACAACAGCCATCGTGATCTGATCTTCATCTCCAGTATATCCTCGCCTCCCTTTCTCCTCTCCGACTCTGATTACATTCTTCAGTTTTTCTTTTCTTCTCCGTAAATCCTATCTCCTCAATTCCTGGACCTGCCGGAGCGCTCCAGGTTCCTCGTACAACCCGTTCTCCTACTTGACTTACTACTTCCGGCGACTAAATTCTACTTTACCTTTTCTCACGGTGATCCACTTGGCCGAACCACTTTTTACTCCATCCACTTACTACTTACTACTCCTACTTGCTTCACTACTTGCAACAACTCTCTCCGTCCTGTCGCATGTGTCATCGCACCTAGTCTTTGGGTAAGTTAGTTTTCCACCAGCATTCTTCATTGGCTTTTCTACTCTTGCGCCCATTTCCTGTTCCTCCCCCAATCTCCTTGACTGCGTTTTTCTTCAATCAAAATGCGCTCTTGTCCTTTTAGCATAGTCATCTGCTCGGCGCTTCGGGCCATTCACTCATGCTGGTCAAGCTTTTTACACTCTCAATCGGTTTCTATCCCTGTACCATGATGTCCTTATTCTCTTTCTGACCTCGGTTTACTATCTGTTCTTAATCCCGAGTGGTCCCCTCCCTCATATGTTCTTATCCTCTAGTATATGTGCGCCACCTTTCGGCTGGCTATATCCTCCCCCCCTTCTTGTTCCTGACTGAACCTTCTTATCAAGATGTGTGCCTGATTGATGTTGGTCTCCGTCTCCGCCTTCTTCTTTTTTTTTTTTCTTCTTGTTTTCTCTAGCTTATCGTTGGATACTTCCAAAGAGCTATCTCTTGTCAAAGCTCCCCCTTCTCAACAATCTTCCTTGTGACCGCACCCTTACTGACAACTGGATACAGAGAATTGCGATGGCGGGCATTAAACGTAAACTTGACTCCACCAAAGGGTCAGCTGCAGCGCCTACTGGCAGCGCAACAGGCGCAGGTCTCCCCCCCAAAACGCCTAGTAAGTATTACGGAGAGCTGCTATCATCTTTCGTAGGTACTGATTGCTACATAGACTCTACCGTTGGTGATACTGCTCATATCCGCGTGACACGGAGTCTACGTGCAAGTCAAGATGCGCGGGCGAACCACACGGATAACAACAAGAACAGCACAAACCATCCAATGCATAATAGGAGTAGTAATAATCGCCCTTTGTCGCGTATAATCACGCTCAGTACCCGTGCTGCTCGAGCTAATAGCGCTGCAAGAAATGCGTTGAACAACGCAACAAACAATGGAACAAATAGCCCATCGAATGCTGCTCGCGAGACCCGGGCTTCTCGAACTCGCGCCGCAGCACCTGTTGCAGCTGCGGCACCCGCACCCGCACCCGCAGCAAGTCAGTTTGACGGAACAGCCTTGAATGTGCCTGAAACCCCGCGGTCTAAGAGGGTCAGACGAGGACCAGCAGCCGAGGAAACTCCAAGAAGTACGAGACAGTCTGCTAGACTGCGGTCTCACGTCAACACATCTTTTAACGATAACGCTTCCTCTGAAGCAGTCATTACCAAACAGTTCGAAGCAAGCCCCTCCAAGGGGGTTACTCCTAGTAGTAGAACTAGGAATAGAAGCCGGCAAGCTGTGGATGCTGCACTTGACACTATTCAAAGCAGCGTGAACTCGAACGCAACCGCCGATATGAGACCCCCATCCCCGGAAGACATTATCCCAGAAACTGTCGAAGGACTTAAAGAAACAGAAGATGATCAAGATCCACATGAATTCATGGAATCAACTCAAGCTGCAGAAGAACTACCGGCGGGCCCCACGTACCAGGAGGACAATCATGAAACGAATGAGGTGAACGGCCAGGAGATCGAGGGTATGCCTAGTCCTGCGAAAACTTCTAGTTCATCTGGATCTCGAAAGCGCAGATCTTCGGAGCTAGAAAACCAAGGTACTACAGGGCTTACCAGTATTGTTGATCTTCCTCGCCAAATATTAAAAGTGGAGGATGGGGAGCTCGATCGTACGGCAGAACAAACGTTACAGGGAAGTACCGATATCAAAAATGCGTCGCGCTCTCCCGATGATGAGGTGGAAGAATCTAAACCTGGCGATGAATCCCGTCAAATAACGGAAGATATTGAAGAATCAACTCCGGAGAATGCCACAGAACCCACAATTGGGAAGGCACTTCGTGGCGGACGTAGTCGAGGACGAGGCCGCGGTGGGCGTAGCAGAGCTGCAGCACGCTCCGGCTCAAGCAAACGAGGTCGTGGCGGTGCTCGTGCTGCTCGTGGCGGGCGCATTGGGCGTCAATATGATCGGTCAAGTGATGTCGAGCACGACCGTTCTCCTTCTCCTAGTGCAGCCACCCAAAAGCTCCGGGATCGACAACGGGAACTGGATAAAGCATTTAGGAAGGTGGCAGCTGCCCAACGATTGGCTTTGGCTGTCTTAGCTTCACAGTCCCAGAAAAAGCTTTCCCGCGATAAGAACGCCCACAGAAATGTACCCGAGTATGAACAAATTAACACACTCCTGAAGGCGAGGCTCGAAGAGAGGCTGGAGGTTTTCCGCCATGAATATGAGCTCCGAGTTGAGCAAGAAAATAGGCTTTTCGCCGCTAATAGAGAAGCGATCGAGGAAAGATTCCGAGTAAGTCCGATTTCATTCGATTTTCTTCCTTTCAGGAGCTGCTGCTGATGACAAACGATTACAGGCGTCAGCCCGGTACATCAAAGAAGAACATTTCTTTGCAAGCCAGGGAGAATATATGGCATTTGTGGAAGGCCGACGTGCTGCGGAGGATGATGAGCACACTGAAGTATGTCAGCTTTTTATTCAGGATCATTATGCAAACGCAATAAGCTAACATCGTCCCAGACTGATGGCTCTGAAACCGAGCCTGAGCGTGTTATTCCACCAGCAAAAGAAGTCGTGAGGGGGTTCAATTCTTCCTTCGTACGGAATCCTGCTGGAGCCGCTTCCTACGACCGTGCTAGGTATGGCTGGGACGATTTCGTCCAGCGTGCTAAGTTAGGCGATGATATCGACCCACAGATGAAGGAGATGAGGGAAGCTGGACCTTTTGCTGGCTTTTCTGCCCGAGAAATCATAGACCTCTTACTAGAGGCGACTGGTATCGTTGAGGTGCGCCAGAAAGCCAGTGTAGAGAACCAGCTAAACCCTGCCTTCCCTGATACGCGCCCGACAGCCTTGTTCGCATTGGCTGATGTGGCAGCCGCTGAGCTCCCTCGTCCTACCTTATCCCAAACCACACCGCGGCTTTCGGCACACAGAGCTCTCCTTCCGCAGCCTTCACAGGTGTCTCACGGGCCGACAGATCCTCGATCTTTCGTGCTGCCGCCCCCCACACCCCAACGGCAACAGCCCCGTCGGCTCCTCCCTGCTGGGCAGCAAATTCCGCCCATCAGTGAGCAACTTGGTCTCCCAGATCCATTCGCGAGTAGGGGTGGACCTCCACAGCTTCCCCCTCCCCCGGGGTCTAACTTCCAACGGCCTCCGCTACCTAATTACTTGGCAAGTCATCATCCACAGAGTTTGTATTATCCGCCGCCACCACCGCCTACAGCCCCGCCACCTGGGCCTCGCCCTCCATACTAGACAGTCACGAATGGATGATATGAGTTTCTGTTCGTTTTCTCACAATAAATGTTTTGTTTCCTTTTGTCCAGTTTTGCAAACACACTATATTCTTTGGATCTGCCAGGGTTTGATATCAATACGGAGCTACGGTCTACGCCAAAATAGTAATGCTGGTTCACGTCGGGAGTTATGTGCTGATTGGGTGGTGGTTTTTCTATCTTCCTTTTTTTTTGTCTCTTCTTATCTTGTTGGTTTTATCACACGGGTGGTTGAGAAGTCTTTGGAGCGTGGGCTTGATGTAATATCCCAAGATAGTAGTATTTACAGTGGATGCGGTGGTATCATGCATACCCTCTGTGTATCAATATAGGAGCAATACGAACCGGATGTATTCTACATGCAAGAAGATAACTCGATATTTGAATCTCATTGATTATTAGTATGAGAAAAAAAAGATCAACAACGGAGGAGAATGAAGGATGCAAAAAACTCGACGGAGGTGAGAAGCAGACCCACCGAGCATCAGAATGAATAATGATGACTCCTCTCATGACTCTTCACCGTGACTCCGCCCCGATTGGGTCTAGCCCCGCGGGTGGGGTGGTGGGATTTGAGGCTGCTTTTCCTTTGCATTGATCTTTTCTTGCGTTGCTTCGTACCTTCTCTCGGACAATTTAATTCCTATATCAGTTGAGCGTGAACCGCCAATTGCTCCTACCAGAATCTTGTCACGGGTACTGCTGATCCTCGCGCATTCCCCGTTCTCTGTCACGTCCATCTAACGACAGTTTCTGCCTCTTATCACCCACCCCACCTCGCAGATTCTCCCATCTTCCTCCTCGCCTCATTGTTTGAGATTATCTCCTGTCTCTTCCTTCCTACGGGTAATCTTTAATCTTTCCAAACTGAAGCTATCGCTTGAACACGATCGAAAGCTTTGAATTATGGCGGTTCGCGCGCAGTTTGAGAACTCCAACGAGTGAGTGGAATATAGTTGCCAACTTTTTCCCCCCTCTGAACACAAATTGGATTTTTCTTTATTTTAGAGAGAGAGGGCAACAAATAAAGGTGGCTACGTACAGGTGTTAACTGTGATATTCACCATGCAGGGTTGGCGTCTTCGCTCGTCTCACCAATTCATATGCGGTTGTCGCTATCGGAGCCTCGGAGAACTTTTACAGGTACGTGCAGTTGTACGCAGGTCCCGCAAACTAGCAAACTGACTTGCGCAGTGTATTCGAGGCCGAACTCCAAGATGTCATCCCCATTTGTCACGCTACTATTGCTGGTACTAGGATTGTTGGCCGTCTAACAGCGGGGTATGTCTCAGAACTCACTAGATGTTCTGCTCTGGCCCTTATGCCATAGTACAATGGGACTCACACGTCGAATAGTAATCGCAAGGGCCTTCTAGTCCCCACCACCACCACAGATCAGGAACTGCAGCATCTCCGGAATACGCTCCCAGACTCGGTCAAGATTCAACGGATAGAAGAGCGTCTATCAGCTCTGGGAAATGTCATCTGCTGCAATGACCATGTCGCCTTGATACATCCGGATTTGGAGCGAGAAACAGAAGAAATGTACTACCTCCACCACCATTGCCCCTTGGCTACTTTATGATGCGGAATCAAAGTGCTGACAAATTTTCCTAGAATCGCCGACGTCCTCGGTGTTGAAGTTTTCCGACAGACTATTGCTGACAATGTCCTGACGGGCTCATACATGGCTCTCTCCAACCAGGGCGGTATCGTGCACCCCAAGACCTCCATTCGTGATCAGGACGAGCTCTCCTCTCTCCTCCAGGTGCCTCTCGTCGCTGGTAGTGTGAATCGTGGTAGTGCTGTTGTTGGCGCTGGTATGGTTGTCAACGATTGGTTGGCCGTAACGGGCCTGGATACGACAGCGACAGAATTAAGTGTCATTGAAAGCGTGTTCCGCTTAGGAGAAATGGGCCCTCGCGGTGCCGGTATGGGCAATGCTCACAAGGAGAGCATTGTGGAGAGTTTCTACTAGGTTGTCATCATGGGCGGTGTTATTATTTGGGATTTATTCACTCAGAATTGTCGTATATTAATGTGTATGCCTTGTGCGCATACACGTTTACAATGTGAGATGCTTCATCCAGCCTGTCTCTAATTCTTGATCATATATTGAATAGGACACGGTCAATAACGACCCGGTAACGACCTAGAATAGCACCCAGTACCTCAGCCATAGTCAATATAGAGAAGTACCTAGGGCCCAGTGAAGTGATATCCTTGTATACGGAATCTGAAACCTGGTTATATGTTTGGTAGAGATGTCTGTCTACCAAAACCCAACCCAACATATACTATTCCGACTACTATCAGAATCGAACGCAGAGACGTATCTGAAGTTGACTAAATATACAGGTTTAGGTGCTTGGTTTGCATCCTGTTCCAGTATGTTCCTTCTTGCTGGCATATTGTGAAAAAAGTATGCGACAACACTAGGGGGTATGAGGGGTATTGGAAGGGTACATAAGACAAAAGCGTCAAGGCGAAGAGAATATGTTGGAGTGTAGAAGAAAGGAAAAGACAAGAGAAAAGAAAGATGGAGGTCGAGTCGGTAGGGAGAGAAATAGTGCGAAGCATGTTTAGGAGGAAGTACAGACAAAAATTAGAACCCGCTAGACCCGGGCTTAACATAAATAATCTGCCGGAATCAACTCCGTGAACACCAGTCCAAAATGCTGATAAAAATATTAAGTTGCTTTTTTTTTTTTATGGGAGGTAGGTCGGTATTCCCATTATCATACCTTTCCTTCAATCTCAGGTTGAGATGGTTCGAGCTTGGTCATATCCGTAGTATACTCAGCTTTAGATGGTGATTGATCTATGGCGTGATCTGATTCTGGGGATTCGCTCGGGATCTCATCGTCTGGTGGAGGGGGAGGGGGAGGTGGTGGAGTGAACTCGTGGTTTTCACTCCTACTATCAATATCATCTCTTAAGGTTTTCTTTGCATTATCGATGTTTTGCGGGTCATCTTCAGGACTTATTGGCGGCGGCGGCAGCGGCGTTGAGGATCTTTGTCTCTTCGAGGATGAACTGTACCCGCCCAAGGTGGAATCCTCCGCGGTACCTCCCTCTCTCTTCCGTTTTATACCTCCCTGGAGTTCTTCTGCAGTCAAGGGCGTGTCTTTCTCATCGGCCTTGTCTTCTTCTTCATCAGACATCTTCACATCTAGCGCCTCATCGTCACTTGCAGCTTGAGGCGTTTCGACCTTCGAGTCCATCCCCTTCGCTTGATTTTCAGCCTTCCGTTGTTCATAAGCTCGGTGCTTTAGGACGGCTTTGTCGAAAAATTCCTTGCAGTACTTTTTGACTTTCTTCTGCTGCTTTTCGCTGATTTTCGTAGGGTCCTCGACTCGGTTATTCTTGAAGTCAGAGTTGACCAGTTTTTTGGCCACCTATGCGCGGGTGGTATCAATATGTATGTATGTATGTATTGTATACTCTAGGCATGGGACTTACATCCTTGGCGTAACGTTTCAAGTCCTCCTTTGGAAGCTTATGCTTGAACTTATCCACTACATACTTTATGTGCGGGAACAACTGATGCATGATTAGCCCTATCATTCATATGTTATATATAAATTGACACTCACCGTATTCTCATAGATCTTCTTCTGTTTATCTTCACTGTAACCCCTCCATTTCTCCTGTCCCTCCTTCTTGACGGGAATTGGCTTAGATACTTGCGGCGTGCCAGGTGTACCGCTTTTCTCCTTAGGCGTGTTCTCTTTGGCATTCATGATGCCATCGATGATGTCTTGCAGAGCTTTGTCTTTCGACTCTTTCGGAGGTGGAGGAGGTTGAGGTGCTGGCTTAGTTGGTCTGGTCCATGTGGTATCCCCACGTGCCGAGTAATAGTATGTCCGACCATTCGACTCAGCGGCGAACCACCCTGTTGGAAGTGGGTTGAACTGACGACGAAATGACCTTGGGCCGTGATGGTGAGGGTTTCTTTGTCCGTATCCCCCTCGAGTTTGAGCTGCAGGCCCCCGGGGGGCCTCAATTGACCGCGATCTTGACCGACTACGGGACTTTGACCGCCGTCGTTGATCCCGAGTGGTCTCCCGCCGTTCAAATTGATTGACAGCTTGGGCGGTGGCATTCGGATCTCGTTTCATGCGTGGAATCCGATAGCCTACCTCCAAGGTCGACCAGACTTGCAGAAGTGTAGCCGCCTTCTTCTCGACACGCTCGTCGCCACAGCTTGTCAGTGGTTGGATAGTAACCTCTATTTTTGAATCAATGATCTTATTCCGCGTGAGGCGCGGAAACTTATCCAGGATATCCAAAATCTGCAGCACAACATTGAAATCGTCCTTCCACATGGTGAGCTGCGAATTGAGGATCTGGTACCCATGCATTTTCACCACACGATTGCGAACACGCTCATCATCACAGCGTTGGATCCGCCCCAAAAGCTTCACCGCGATCCACTTCTCCTGACACTGCATCAAAGCCGCCATAACCTTGGTGACGCCGTTCTCCTCCAAAGACTTCGGCTGGACACTATCCACATACTCTTCGTCATCCTCGCCCATCTTCTTCTTGCGTGGCCGCTTCGCCACCGCCGTATCCCAGCCGTCTGCATCCTCGATCCCCAGGGCTTCAATCGTGGCATTCGACAACTTCGTGGCACGTTCTGTCTGGGTCCTCCCACCAATGAAGCCTGTACAATTCGGTTCTCCGCAATAGCATGGTTGAGGATCAGCTCCGTACCGGTCGACATTGTAGTTAAAAACTAATTCCTCCCCGGCTTGAATGTCTCGTTCAGCAAAGATACCCATGCGGAGCTTCTCCCCAACTACCCACTTGTCGACATAGCAGTTAGGATTGCAAGAGTGGTTACAGAACCGGCCTAGATTACCCCTCTTAGTCGCATCAACAAATTCACCTTTGCTGAGGGACATAAAATAGAAATGCTTGATCCCCTCTTCGTCGTACTGCCTCATGCGCCGCCGGAACTGGCCTTCGTTGATGACTTCGCCTACATACTCGTAGATAAACTGGTGCGGTCGCAAATCGGCTTCGGCACGCAGACCGAACCCTTTCTTTTCCGTCTTAATCACGGCTACCTGGGCATACTCCTTTCGTTGGAATCTTTGATTTTGACAATCCGGTCCGCATCCACAATCGCCCACACATTCCATCTTGGTCGCCCGGTTAATACAGTCGGAATCCTCTCCACATGCCACATTTTTGGAGAGGGTAGGTTCTGGTTCGCAGTAAAGTAGAGTCTAGTTAACAATCATGCGGCAAAAACGAGGGAATCATAAGGGTAAGTGAGAGTAAGACAGGAAATGAGACAAGGAAATCGAAGAGAGAAGGAAAAGCCGTAACTTACCCCATTCTTCAGCACAATCGCATTCCATCGCATGCTCAGTATAGCCCATATACTTGTTTGCATAAGTGCAACTGTCCATCAGCTCAAAGGACGCCTGGGCCTCTGCCGTACTATCTCGAAGGTGCGAGAATAGCTGTGGTGGCCGCGCAACAACTTTCTGGGAGGAGCTGCGAGTTAATTTAGGCGGCTGTCCAGGTTCTTGTTTGACGGAGATGTCGCCCCCGACTTTCTCTTCCATATCTGTAGTGTGATCTGTCTCCTCTTCCTTTTTGACGGGAGTTTGGGACGAGGAGCGTGAATTAACCGCAACATCCATATCCTGTCCAGATGGCGAGCGGGACGCGCCATTGGGGTCATCATTCAGCGAGGTGCTTCTACCGTTAACCGCGGGAGTATCTGTGGCTCCGGCGGGCTCCAGCTTCATCGCGGTTACCGCATCTGTTACGGATTCTGACCGACGGTCCGCGTAGCCATGAGGGGACATGACGACACGGACGACGCGCGCCGGCTATCAAAGCTAGTCGGTAGATGCGCTGGAGAAGGCAGAGGGTGTTTGTCTGACGTGGTAGTAGGGGGTCGGCAATCGGAGATAGTGTAGGTGAGGAGAGAGAAAATGAGGGCGAAGGAGGGCGAAGGAGGGCGAAGCGATGAGGGGGGAAAGAGGATAGAGAAATGGAACAATTCGAGTTGAACCAAAAGTCAAGTCGAAGTCACCGTCAAACAATGTCCACGTTTTTTTCCCGCGGGCGCCAAGAAAATATTCAAGAGGAAAAAGGAAAAAAAAATTTCAAGAATCAAGGGAGTGCCATTCTCGGACTGCTTTCATACGCTTCTAATCTGACTGGAGGGGTTCTCTCAAGATATTTCCCCAATTTCTTATTCACTATTCATCGATTCATTCATAACCTCTTCCTAACTATTGTTCCTGTCGCATGAACTTCACTCCCCCCTTGTACACCATGATTCACTTCCGGATCTCTCAACATACGGAAAAACACCCAGTTGAAGAGCTAGATAGAGCCAACAAGCTTCTATCTAAGCGAAAGCGGTTGCACAAGGTCTCTTGCTAAATACTTAACTGATTTGCTAGGGCAATTCTGACCTTTTTTCACGCATTTCGCCGTGGTGGTGCGGTAGTGATATGTAAAAGGCGACCACTACACAGCATCGCAGATGTGGCCAAGCCACTGTAACCTGGCCACAGTTCTGCCCTAGAGGTATAGACTTTGCCACATCCCCCTTCTATCGTATACCTGTTCTTTCTTGATTCCCTTAGCTGCAATCTCGACCCGTTTCATCTGTGAGCCATAATCTTGAGAGATAGCATTATCGAGTACTGGCTCAAGCGAGTACAAACAATCATGTGCCTTGTAGCCTTTCCGAAGGAAAGCTAGAACATGTCAGCTTCAAAAAGTAAACGGAAGCGGCCTTTGACTCTTGGAAAGATGAAGACAGGGTGGCTGCTTCGCAAACTCAAGGGGCATGCCCGAACAAAATAAGAATAGAAAGGAGATGGCAAAGGGATGAAAAGACAGGGCAGAGATTCGTCTCATTAAGTTGATCAAGCCGCAATATGTTACTACAAGCTATGCTTGCGTATTATGTAGCAATTCCATTCATCCATTGGGCCCTACTCCGGGGAGTTCATCTGCTATTCTCAGATGGGCTGGTTATGGAGTAGGGAAGACGTGGGCTAATACAAGCAATCGAAGTAACCCTCAGAAAGGATTTGCTCTCGAGAGAAGTCTAGAGATGCCAAGAGTCAAATACAGAATTCATAGGCTGTGAGTGGCCCAAATAATCCGGACAAGCCTCTTGTCCATGGAGGTATGATCTCGCTCGGCTGAGAAGTACGTGAGAGCGCACGACACCGGAGATCGGAGGAGGGATCTGCAAGAACATCGCACTGATATTTAGCATGACACGCCATAAGGAGGGGTGGGGTTCGCATTTCCGGTATGATTGTACCCTTTCTGAACAGGGGTTTATTCTGATGCGCATAGCGATTGGGCGAGGCTATCGCAAATTGAAGTCCAAAGCGCATAATTGGACGGTATGTAATTAAGCGAACGAGTACATGACGGAGGAACAAGAGGGAATTCTTTGTGCCATCAATAGTATTTCTGATAGGTTATTATAGGGATGAATGCATGCAGGATGGAGGCCAAACCAATCTGGGCGAGTTCCCGTGCATGAACGGGTGTTGTCTCGAACATGCTGGAGAAGTGTGCCACGCAACTTTCATCTCATCCAAAGAAAAGCTAGAAAAATACAGAAAGAAGAAAGATAGGATAGAAAAAAAAAATCATACGAGCAAAAAAAAAAAAAAAAAAAAAAATAAAAAACCAAAAAAAAAAAAAAAAAAAAAAAAAAAAAGTGAGAGCGCGCGCGCGAGAGAGAGAGAGAGAGAAAGAAGAGAACAGGCTGCATTATGAAAGAGTAATAACCCGCGTGAATACAACACGATAATCATAGCCTTAATGGTACGGCTGATTTAATACTCTCATGTTCGCCCCAATGAAAGTGGAAGATGGGCAAAAGGCTAATGCAGACATTTCTCTGTTGGTACTACTCGTACAAAGGACACAATACTGGCATCTGTGCGTCGACTTAAGTAGTTAGTTGGTCGAACTCGAGTTTCTATAATTTTGACTCCCGCAAACAAGGGTAAAAGATGGGATCGGTGTCACCCTTAGTCTGGAAGAAGGAAGGAAATTGAACAACGGTACCGAGAGCCAGGTACGTACTAGTATCCGCAAGTACGACTGTACTCGTCGTACGTCGGAGGGCCTCTGTGGACCGTCTGTACCGTACCAGATACTAATAGATTTCCAAGTTACTTGGTATGTACAAGCGCGCCGGGTACCTGAGATGTGGGGCCAAAAGAACATTCTGCTTTGCCAGAAAGTCACCGAGACTTCCTTAACCAACACCGTACACCCGCCATACTAAACCTAGTTTTGTTATGGGGGATGAAACTTTACCGCGTCTGTTGATGAAAGTCACCTTCATGACAGGTGGTTCTGGAATTTGATACGACCAATACATGGGCGCCACATCCACCCTGGTCTGCCAAAGTCTATTATAATTATTATGATGATGATTATCGTGATTATTATTACTATTATTATTTATTTTGAAGAAGTAAAGCTTCCGCGAATTTGTTTCCGTCACATCCATGGATAATGATCCTGCTTTCTTTTCTTGATTCTCTCTTCTTTGGTTTTCTCAACGTCAATCTTCTACATCTGCACCAGCACCGGCACCGTCCGTTTGGACGGACAGATGAAACTTTAAAAGGACTGGACCGGAGGACAAGATGTCGAATGCAAGGCTACTATCGGACGGTTGATTCAAGTCAGCGGGGGCGCTGCTTCTCTTGCACGCTGATGGTTCTTCGTGCATGGTCCATTGTTATTTTCATAACGATGCACTCTACTAAGATGACGATGTCGTACTAGCGGAGCTTTAGAAGCGCGCTGGTAGCATTAGTTTGCATATGATGTGGATGAAGAACGAAGTCGTCTCATCCACACATTGGATGTCCTCTGACTGGGGGCAGGCAATGTTGATCCATCTTGCTGTCGGCCCCTCCTTCCGTGATCCCCAAAGGAAAGGAAAGATAAATGAATAAATAATAATAAATAAATAAATAAAACAAACCAAAAAACCAAAAAACCAATCCAGAACTACGGAGGAATAGAGGTTGGCCCTCCAAGGTCATATAATCATCAGTCAGGGCTTGTTTTCCTCGTTTACACTAATGTTTTCATATTCTGACCAGACAAGAGAAACCTACCAGGATGTGATCAGAGCGTTTAAATTCATGGGTGGCTCATGGACGGACTGGGCCGTCGTTGCAGTCCCCGTTCCATTGCCTTCTCGCCAAATAATGAAATTCATTCATTGACCCAGCCCCCAGGATTATTGTAGTCTGCGTCGACTAAATAGCGGAGCCTTTGACCCCACTCTGCGGTTATCAAACGACATCCTACGAGTAAACCATCTCCACTACTTTCAACTGTCTGCCAGTCATTGGGAGGTGCATTCCCGCTATCTTCGATAGGGCCAATGCACTTTTTTTTTTTTTTTTTTTCCTTTTTTTTTTTCTTTCCTCTTTTTTTTTTTTTTTTTTTTTTGGTCTCCTGTACGTCCGTAACCATGCGGACCTCTATCCGAAGTACACCAGGATGACCTGCTGTAAGGATGGATCGACCGCACTATCTCCATCCCGGACTTATACTCTGAGCCTGCCACCCTTTAAAGCTTCAGCTCTGACTTCTGAGCAACCTGTCGACCTTTAGTCAGTTGACCCAACGTTCTGGGGCGCCATTATCCACCTATCATTAGCCGGCTAGCGCTCGAGACGTACGCCTGGGTACTGTACTTCCCGCGCGGAAGAGTCTCTCTCTGTCTCCATCTCTCTCTCTCTCGCCTTTTTCTTTTTTTTTTTTTTTCTTTTTAACTTTTATGAAATTCGTAGTGAAGGAGCACAACAGTAGCTTCAAACTACTGTTGTTGCATTGATTTAATCCTTCTCCGTCTGAGTGTCCATCGACTTGCAGCTTTGTGCATGCTTAGTTTCTCTCTCGCGCTCTCTCCAATTCAGTCAAGATTGATCCTCGCTCGGATAATCCAGGAGACTTAATGTGCCCCTCCTTGGGATGGGAGTCTTTCGTTCGGATCCCTCCTTCCCCGTGGCGGAAGATACCAACGTTTGGAATTATCTGAAACCGTCATTTTTGAAACACACACGCACACACACACACACACACACACTCTCTCTCTCTCTCTCTCTCTCTCTGCTTGGTACTTTTCAGCCTATCCCCCCTCGGGTTTGGTAGGGTTTGCTGCCACTAGTTCATCTGTTCCTTGTGGCTCCTTTCTCTCAGTTTCTAAAAAGAAACCAAGCGGACACGAAGGAGAGTCCCTGCAGTTCCCTTAGGCTGGCGGCGGACGCATACTTGCGGCATTGATACTGTTCTGTACAATCCCGAATTAAAAGTCCGTTTGGCTCAGAATCGTTGTTGAGGAAGATAGAGTGTCACTTGGCTACTGCATTGATTCCCTCTGGTATCTTTTTCTTCCCTCCTTTACCATCCATCTTGTCATTTCACTGCGTGCTTGGTGACAGTATGCATCGTTGAAACGGGCTCTTCTCGCTCCCTTTCTGTTCTTTTCGTTTTTTTTTTTTCTTTCTTTCTTTCTTTTTTCTTGTCCCTTGGTTTTATTTTTTATTTTATTTTCCCACCCCTCCTAGGCTGGGGAGAAGCCCTCTCTATCCCCTGTCACAACAACATTCGCTCATCTCAACTAGATTCTTTTAACTACTTTGGTTCCATGGTGGTATTCTTCTTCTTCCTTTTTTGCCTTCATTCACATTGGCTTTCCCTGTCCTTCCCTGCATAGAGGTGACTGGAGCATAGAAGTTACATGTCAATAATTCTCCTCCTACAGTCCTAGTTCTCTGCTTTATAGCCCTTTGCCCTTGATTTACACTGCATGGCAAAACCCCAAGTCCAGGTCTCTCGTGAAATTCATTCCTCCTGTGAATGTCCAACCCTTATTCAATGTCTACTGTCCATCTCTGCCACTCGTTGCGTTGCGAACGTGGTTTATGATTGCTTCCTGAGCAACCACGTGTTTATACGTTGAGTAGACGCATCATTCCATTTGGGAGGCTCTTTTGGTCGTTTATTTATCATCCTATCTTTCGTTTGGTGTTTGTTTTGCTTTATATGTGCTGCAGCGTAGTCGCGTGACGCGTTTTACCTTCTCTATACATTTGTTATAGCTTGACTCCTCTGGGCTCCTCTTTCTTGCTTTCTTTCTTTCTTCCCCCTCTCTGAATTGTTTGTCGGATTATCTGTTGAGGGAAGCCGGTCGTATTCGCTTCCATGGTCACCTGGATATGTCGAATCTACCAGAACGACCATGGACCGAGGAGGAGAAGGTAAGAAAGGATATTATATTCTTTATCCTCTACTGTTTTCTGTTTTGATCTTACTGTCGACGGCCCACCAATTTTTACTTGACTTCACAACTTGTTCTTCTCACCGATGAACTCCGAAAGCCCCGTGCATTATCATCTATACAAACGGTTTGCTGATGGTAGATATTCTGAGACTTAGTACACTTTGCTTACTGAAATATTGAAGAAGGCTGGAGTACCCTCTAGTCACCTAGTTAAGATGATCCAAGATTTCAATATCACCCCAAGCTGGGCGGATATACCCCTTCCTCCAGGTACAGACTGCCGGCACCTTGCTCTTGCCCTTTGCTACTCTGAAGCTCGGCTTTATGAGACTCACGCCCTACCCGTGTCATTCTCCGGCTGTTTCGCAAAGAGGGATACTTCGACATTCGAACCCAGCTTTGCTGATATCATTCGTTTAGGCCGTTCTCTCAACTCCTGTCAGGTGACATTTTACAGTATGTGTCCGCAACATGTTCAATTACCTATCAATCCAAGCTTTGCACCTTTTCCTCCTCCGCGCCATGAATCCTCGGCACCTCCAGCCCCTGTGCTTGACAACAGCCAAACCCGAAAGCGCCTTCTTTTCCCATCAGACAGACCCATCTTAGCGCCGCGTGCGATACAACCCCGACCAACGACCAGTACAGCTTCGTTCAGTAGTGAGAGTGGTGCGTCAGCCCTGTTGTCCCCAGGTTCGGAGAGCATGCCATCCCGAGGGGAACCACCACGCAAGCGCGGTCGACCCAGCAAAGCCGAATCAGAGAGACGAAGAGCAGCCGCTGAAGCTCGCGGAGAAACCTATCCACCTCCGAGGCGAACTGGTTCTAGCAAAATGAAAGCTCCTTCTACACCAACCAGTCCCTCAAACATAGAACCTCTGGCTGCCTCGTTCATTCCTCATGCTAGTGGCAGTCGACACCCAGGTGTACTACGATCTGATCTGCATTACGTACCCCCGCCCGGAAGACCGCCGAGACTTTCAGGACCAAATGAAAATCAGGGGATGAGGGATATGCCCCATCGTGACATAGGGCCTCCAGTGAGAGACTTGCCACGACCAGCGGAAATGAGACAGAGACTACCTTCCCCGCAAACACTACATTCAGGCCAGAGGGAGACGATCTCGCGCATGGAGCCTGGGGAGCGACCCTTTGAGGCACCCCCACCAGATCGGATATCTTTCGGTGATAGCAGCCGAAGATCTCTCCTTCATAGATGCCCAGATGAACCACCTATCTCAGGTCCGGAAGTGCCTCTGCACACTTCGGTCGAGAAACGAGCCGAATGACCTTCAATACTCTGGGTACCCGATCATTTAAGTTCGCTAGTTTAAAAGGCTATTGAGACATGATGAATGAATTACACTGTCGGTTATGACATAGATAGCATTGATTTGAACACACAAATCTCACTTATTATGACCTGTGATGAGTTACTAAAAATGAAGGCTACGAGCAGCATGCACCACCGCACTTGCTTTCTTCTTTGTTTCAATTCCTTTTGCTTCAAATTCTGTGGGTGAGTTAACGAACTCAGCAACGCATTCCTTGGATATCTCTTCATTTTTATCGTCATGTCTGAGCTGGCAAGCCTGATATATCATTACAGGTCTAGCCAGTAAACCTGACTTTTGTCCTGTATGTGTTTCTGGTTCATAGAACTGGTATAAGGAAAGTCAACACCTTGTCACTCGCAAACGAGCCCTGGGGATAACTTAATACTATTATATTCCGTTCATTTCAAGTGCTGATGCCGATGCTCCTTAACAAACTGAGTTGATATGAATATCACGCTTTTTTATCCCGTGATTTTGCACCTTTGCTTCATTCTTTAGTCTTTGTCTACTTTATCCAGGACAGTAATCTCTTGGGCCTCTAGCTGTGTGTTTTGGTTTTTGACCGTTTCTCTGGAGGCACAAAAGGTTTGGATTTAACTGAATGCTGAATATCTTCAAACGCTGCATTATTTGATCTAATCTCCATGTCCTCTTTCTTCCCTTTTCTTCGGCTTTCCAGCCTCCTAATTGGCGACTCATTTCAAAAGTTAATGCCCTGTTGTGGACGTTTATGTTTAAGATTGTATAGATCTGGTATATGTACGGATCTAACCTTTTATAGAGATGAGAGCCATTCCACAAAGCAGCGTAACATCCCCCACATCTACAAGAATACAGGCAACCTGCCAACAGATAGAATGGGAAATTGTGCAACGTCATTGTGTGCACAAGCGCTGTTGCCCTTACAAAGTATATATATATATATGTATGTATGTATGTATGTATGGTATGTATGGTATGTAGCATGACATAGCCATACAGTCTTGGACAGCAGAAGATACTTGTCATTACATAGCTGCCAGTATGCAGATATCAGAGGGGAATAACTTCACAAACAAAGGTCGCGTGGAGAGTCCTCTCCCAGATTCTAAGTGCCCTCAAGGAAAAAGCCTTGAAAACAGCTCAAATTTCGGCGATACTTCCAAGGGTTAGTGTGACATCTGTCCACGGCTGTAGCGTGCCCCAAGGTAGAGAAGCATCGAACTATATTGAGCGTATCGATAAGCGAAAACGCTATGGATGCCGTTAGTGAGGCAGAATGTTGAGTGAACAGAACCTATTCTTGGTGCGGAGTTCTAGCCGCCATGCCTTGCATTTGTTGTTGCCTTTGCAGCTCTAGCTGAGCCCTTATTGCACTCACGGCAGAACTCAGACTTGGTCCCGATGGTTTAGCGAGTCTTTTTCCAATTTCGGGGACTGTGCCAGGGATTTTTTCTTCTACTAATTTCATTACTTCGTCTTTTCCTTCCACACGTCGAGTGAGGTACACCTTCGGCGTAGTGCCCTGACGAGGAAGACTGCGGATTCGGATACGCTCAATCTCCTGCCGATACGCGGTCTCGTAGATGTCAAACTCTGCTGCACCCGGTGATTCGCTCACAACAGGGCATGGGTCGATTTCAGAAGGTTCTGCAGATAGCATGCTATCCGGTTCATCAAAGATGTAGTCCATCTCAGAGTCACCAGTATTCGTAGGCGGCGAGCCGGTATAAGTAGAAGGCCCAATGAACAAGAACGGAAACTCTTCCTCCAAAGGATCTCGTGCATGTCCACGTGTTCCCTCTATGCTGCGCTTAGTAAGAACCGAACTTGTCCTCGACAGTGGAACTTGAGGAGATGAGGATCCAGGTGTGGTTATGGTCTGCAAGTCATCGAAAGATGTTCCTGGTACTTTGCTGCTAGGTATGTAGCCCGAGTCATTTCTCTCAGGCCCGACGCTTGCAGTCTGCTTACTGCTATCGGACACCACAGGTCCTTGTTTCCCAAAGATACTGGAGTCTGTGTTGTCTAGGAGCTGCTGTAAGCGTGGTTCATCGCAATTCAGATGATATCCTTTGAGAACGTCATCACGTTGCCAGGCATTTCTATTGTATGTGTTTAGGCTCTGGCTTTTGTTGGAATTTAAAACAGTACCAGCTGCGAAACTTTCTTCTGGTTCCATTTCAAGGGGTGGTTGGACAAAATGCGTCTCGTACTCTTGTCCAAGAATACTCTGCATAGGTGGGTCTGCCTTGGCAGGGTCAATTAGTCTCTTGAAATTCTTCACGGCTTTCATCTGTGGCTCCTTGTTAGCTTGCCTCAAGACGCAATCAAGTCTGTATAGAGCTTACCACAGCTAGGACATGACCAATCGTCTTTGTGATAGCCAAATTCATTTCCTCTTCAGTAGGGAGTCCAACTATTTCAGCAGTATTTTCGCTCTCTGGCAATAGTGGATCTATCCCATCCCTTGTGACCCAGGGGTGTTCCTGAGTTTCTTTCTGTGAGCAATGCTTTGTTATGGAAGTAGAAAAGGCTCGCGCCACTTACTCGCAAATCACTCATTTGGATCCTTTTGGCCGGATCTTTCTCTAGAATCCGTGACATCAGGTCCTTGAAGTTTTCATCGGTTTCCCCCTCACATGCCACTGGGTCACTCTTAATAGCCTCATACAGCTCGAAGATGCTCTGCTTCTCGAAGGGCAATCTGCCGTACCGCAAACAGTACAACGTAACACCCATAGACCATATGTCGGCCGCTTTCCCCGAGACATCCCCGTGTTTGATAACACATAGCTCTGGTGGGAGGAAAGCAGGTGAGCCGGCCGATTTCGCCGTGAACATATCGGAGTCTTTCTCGAACATCTCGGATACCCCAAAGTCCACTACCTTGAGAACGTCATCGCTCGTTATCAGGCAATTATCTGGTTTTATATCGCGGTGTACAATGCCCTGAGCGTGCAGATATTCTATTCCCAGGATCAGGTCGCGGAACCAACAGCGACAGAGTTCGTCATCATATGGGTCGGCTCTTTCTTCAAGCCCAACTTTCATAACCACCCCCTTCTTACACATCTCCATAACCATGTATAAAGAATCCTCTGTCGGGTCGTCTAAGACCTCAATCAGAGACACCAGGTTGTGATGATGCAGTTTCTTCATGATAGCTATCTCTTCTTTGATAAGGTAAAGGGCATTTCTCTTTTCATCTGGATCTTCCAGAGAACGACGGTGAAGTGGGGAATTGAAGCCATCTGACGGGCGCTTGGGACCTCGAGGTCTCCGTAACAGGTGGGATTGGGCGCGTTTCCTAAGCCGTGCCTTGGAGAATTCCTTGACGGCCTTACTCAGTGTACAGTTTGTTAGCTGGGAGTTTTGCTTTTCCTTTGTACTTCATGCCACGATATATGTCCATAACCAAGCTACCAAGACAGAAAGAAGGTCTTACGTATTCATTCCCAAACTGATCCGTAGCAAGATGCACGGCTCCGAAAGAGCCCCTGCCAATTTCTTGTTTGATCACATATTGATTGATTCTGTGTTCAGCGGTACCATCATCCTGGCTGGTGGTATATTCAGATCGGGCATCCAGAGTTTCCTACCACCAGTCCAGTTAGCTTCCTACAGAGAGAAATGAAACATATTCTCTGAAGAACCACCTTGACCGGGCGTCTAGCTATTGGGTTTCGGCGATAATGCCTTCGTGGACTCTCATATGAAGGTGTCGAGCTGATACCGTGGTTTTTAGCAACCCGCTCAATCACTAGAATGGCTGGGAACCCGCAGGAGACAAAACATAGAAAATGGAGAGGGAGAAGAAGATCAAAATGTTGTAGAGCTTACGCATAACGAACTGGTCGCGGATGACGAAGACCGGGGCGACCACCCGGAAATTGATTAGCATCCTGCGAGGAGGGGAAGGCATTTTCGTTGGCCATTGAATACGATGAGCAACGAAAAGGTAACAGGGAGATCCCCAAAATACGAGAGGGAGAACGTTTAAGTTGGGGATGTCTAATTCTCCGTTGAGAGAGCAGACACGCGAAACCCGGATGCCTAGGCAGATGTGGGGAAGAAAGTGGGCTGCACAAGAGAACAAGAGGCGACAACGCTAGGACGTTGTAATGGACCTATAGGAGATATAGAGGGCGGTCGAACCTGCAAGTTGGGGAAGACACGCAGAAAAAGGAAGGGAACACAGATGAAGAAGAAATGAGGACCAGAGGGAAATAAGAAGGATGCCACTACAGTATATAATGATACCTATAAATAAAACATGGAAGAAAAAAAGGGAAGCTTGATAGTTTCCAACTTTCCAATTGGGATCCTCAGGCACAAGTCAATCTTTATCGATAAACAAAACATCTGATCTTATTTTGGATCGCTCACCGCCCACGAGCATACCGACCCGTCCACCTAAACGAGCCTAATTCAACGGTCTCTGGGGGCACATCTTTGTATGACAGCCTTCTCCCCTATAGATCTCCGCACTTTAATTCCCCTTTGTCAGGTCAGCTCCCGTGTATACTTCTGTGGTGAATTGTCTGCTATCTCCTGACCGTAATGGTTGTTTATTCCTTCTACATTTTTGACCGCCATGGTACGTGCCTCTGCCTCTTAACCAACCCTCAGCAAAGGTATACTGACTGCTCTCACTTCTTAGCGGAATGTATATACAAACGACGTTGGGTGCCCCGTCCGCCTTCGATTATTGGAAAATCCTCGCGCCCAACTTCAGAAGCATCTGCCACTCCCAATGCATTGCCTTCCGTGCTGGGTCAATCTGCGCGGACTACCGATGACGATGCTAAGCTGATCTTCGGCACCGTCTTCTCCCTCCGGAATATGGTGCGCAAATTGGGGGGTGAGGATGATAGGTGAGGACAATACCCCATACCACTGCTAACCCAGGAGAAGAGGTTGATACTGACGGTCGAAACCTGGCATTCAGCTTCGTTACCTACCATACCAATCAATACAAGCTCCATTATTACGAGACGCCTACCAACATCAAATTCGTAATGCTTACCGATCTCAAGAGTCCAAGCATGCGAATTGCATTGCAGCAGATCTATATCAATCTTTATGTTGAATATGGTATGCAAGCTCACGAATTGGAAGACTTCACCGGACGCTAATGTGAGGATATTGTCTTAGTGGTCAAGAATCCGTTGTCCCCGGTCGAGCATCCAGGCGGTGTGGGTGTAAATAATGAGCTTTTCGAGGAGTCTTTGGAACAATTTGTGGTATATCTGCCATTCCTGCTCAGCTCAACTTAAGCGCTGACACAGTAACAGACGCGTGTCCTGTCATGAGAACTCGTGGACTCTAGGGTCTCCATCAACTTGGTCGTCTGTGCCTCTTCGAAGTGGACGGAGAAGCCAATCGTGCAGTAGACATGTGATCAACTTGTCGGGTATCTACAGAAAGAGAATTCGATAGATTCCGGGGTTAGCGTTCCTCGCTTCTCCCAAGGCAGCGCCATGAAAGACGCATCACAAATATGCGTAGCCTAACCCGGAAATTACTATCAACCCGGAAGGGTCGTCCTACGGCTAGTATCTTCCAAGAATCTCAAGGCGCGAGGGCTGTGTCATAGCCGTGTTGCTAATGCACCTGTGTGATATGCATCAGATTACTAGATGCAAACTATGGGTTAGAGGATGATAATCAGCTCTCTCAGGCTCTGTGGCGGCTGATTTCACACTATGCGATTGTCAAGTACCAAATCAATAACCATGCAACTAAAACAATATTTGTTTGTCGAGTACATTATGGCACAGTACATTGCCCACGGTTTCACTTGAGATGAATTACACGTCAGGCCTTTAATGATTTAAAGCATTAGAAAATTCCACCCGTGGCAGATCTTCCAGACTGTCCATAACGAACATCCTCGGGTAGATCGTCCTCATCACGTCCTTCACTATATCCATCCTGAGTACGGGGCTTTGCGTGACGTAAGCGGTCGCCACGTAAGATGTTGCTTCTGTCGATAGCCTCTCTTTCGTCGTTCTCTGCAAGCTGGTTAGCGAGCCTCGCGAACGCTGGACAAGTATAAAACCTTACCTAGTTGTTGCGTACTGTTGGAGAATGGAGGCTGGATAGGATCTTCTTCAACATCTTCGTCCTTTTGAACAGGGATCTGACTCCTTAGCTCGGAACGCGTTTCATGGGCGTAGGTATTATCTCTGACTGTTCCAGAAACAGGGGAGGAATCATTCTGAGCCTCGTAGCGGTCTTCGGCTTCTCTTTCGTAAGGGTTCGACATGGTTATTCAAACCATCGGCGATTTCATAAAGGATATACAACGTATTTGTTATGGGCATATATGTAGAATGCTATGGAGTGGGAACAATAGCGAATATTTAAGCATTTCAGTTCCCCCATCCCAACGCACTTTTGACATCAGATGGCCGTCATCCTTATGTATGGGGCGAATTGGGTTTTCGATAAGGTTTCAGATTAGATCGGTCGATGTGATGCAATTCAAAGGGTTCGTTACTAGATCGGTACAATCTCACTTCTGTGTACGTTGATACAACCTATACGGTAGCTCATCTGTGGATTGATACTTTGTGTAGTATGCCAAGTTTTTTCTGACTTGAGTTGCTGATATCTTCGACCTGAGCTTCTCATGAGGTAGCTCATGAGTAGGCAAAATAGCAGGAAACAGTCGTTTTGAGGTAAGGGGAGGTTCCGCTCATAGCAATGATTACTACGGCGATATGGAGCTGCTTTCAGGAAGCAAATCTTGTCCAAAAATACGTAATATTGATCAATGTCAATGGCAGCTCTGGCCACAACTATGACATAGAAATGATCCAGACTGAGGTCATCCGTCCCAAGATGTTTAGGAGATTGCTCGTTCCGATATCAGATCAAGATCGCCAGGGCTTTGCTCCTTAGACGATGATGTCCGCTAGTTAAATCATTGCCTTCACTCCAGAACAAGTTAAAGAAATCTAGTACCAGCAGGTAGCCTTGAGAATGAGAGGGCCGGTTCCAATGGATGTTAGTTATACATCAGTGGTATTATGTAATATTCACAAATTCTCCCATGATTTCGGTAGATACACACCCAGCTACTGGTAGGTATCTGGACTTGATTTTGCTCAAGTTAGTGGTAGGGGTTATAGCCTTCCAGTGACAAAAAGACAAATCAATCACCCATACAAGCCTATTACAGAACCGAAAAGGCACGATTCAGTAGCATACAGTGGGGAAGACAAGTCCATTCTGCTGTACACCACTTGAAAAGGAATTATTGTGCTAACCCAAATACTGCACAGAACTATCCTGAAATGTGTCTATGAAATGTGAATTGAAGTGTACAGTATATCTACAATTCACCCCATATGACCATGCCGAATATCACCTGACAAATTCTAATGCAGTGTACGACATAAATTGGCAAGAGAAATGGCTCGTGCGCTCCCACACACAAAGGGTTAAGTTTCAGAAACAGCTTAATCTTGTTCGGGAAGGCCAAAGGGATGTACGAAGCTTGAACTTTGACTCGCGGCAATTCATTCGCTTAGGGAGGGGAGCCCCATAAACTACGTAAAGCAGACTGGTAGCCCTTAGGCCCCGCTTTGTTCACCGTAGCGTACGCCGAGTACTGCTTGTATGGAGTAGGGAGCAGTTAACGGACAGTAGATTTAGGGGTTTCGAAAGATTTTGTTTTTTGATTTTGATTTTGATTTTGATTTTGATTTTGAATTGATTGAAAAAAAAAAAAAAAAAAAAAAAAAAAAAAAAAAAAGAGAGAGAGAGAGAGAGAGAAAATAAAAGAAAATGAAACCATTGTACCGACACAGTGAGGGTTATCCCGACAACGGAAAGTCTCCTGGTTTTAACCCTTCCACCCGGACCAATCGTTCAACTGATAGTACACAACTATCACCCTAGATGGATTGAATATTGTCGCTTTCATATGGGAAGACTTGTGGAGTGGTTTAATATGGCAAATTAAGACTTTGAGGGAGTCCATCCACAAATGATAGTACCTACAGAGTTGTATTCCCCGCTTTTGACTCCCACCCCTGAGCAAGAAAGTACACCGCGAGCGGTGTCCAGGAGTGCATATTTTGTGTGCGGTCATGGAAGCATGTAGTGAACGGCAAGAGAATTATAAAGACCTGTCGGCTTTTAATTTGACCTGGGCTCTTTTTATCTGTATCCTATCCCCATTCGCTTAGGTTGTTTGACCTGGCGGTGAGCCAGACCCCGTCACGTACAATTTGAACGAACACTTCTATACTTCAGTCCCTACCCCAAGAACCAAGGCAATAATAGCTGGAGTTTGACCGACTCGTCAAACTCAAACCATCGGGTGACCAGGAAGTGTGCTGTGGATCATGGATTATATCGAGTAATATCAAAAGATGCTAAAGACCAACAGTAACGGGTACCCGCACCCATCGGAAACGGATGGGTTGATTTCCGAGATTAACGCATCTTTTCTTTTCTAATCACTCATAAACAATTCGGGCCATCCAGTTCATTCCAATTTAATACGGTATCTATATGCAGTAAGATAGCCGCGGTATCGGAGATCAGCTCAACCCATTGGTAATCTGGCATATTGAGGAGTTTTGAGGGGGGGAGGGTGGAGGAAATAAAATACCCTCTTACAGGCATAATAAGGATTAACTCTGGAAATGAGAGAGGCACTTCGTGTCAGTTGCAGTACTACTGTGTACTAAGGCAACTAGCGTGGGACAGTACAGATTCCATCGGGAATGCCCCACTCACCATGATGCAGCGTGGTAAGTAATTTTAGATGGACCGTTTTCTTTACCCTAGCTTTTTCTTCTGGTCTGTGATTGGCCTCAAAAATCCCTCGTGCATTTCTTGATAATGCTGGTCGATTTACGTCAGTTGTATAGGTCAGGGTTAGGTACCATCTCCTACCGCTGTTGAGGGGAGATTATAGGATGAAAGAAAGGGAACAGTATCTCGCTCCAAGCTCAGTTGGCCAACCCTAGGTAGGAATTTGCAATTAAAAGTACAAATGCCTAGATACAGATTGGTTCTCTACGAAGATCTGTGCAGCTATTAGGTTTGGATCATGCTCCAAGACACTCCGGGGACGGCAGCCACAGCCGAGGTCCGGAGTACTAGCTCTAATAAGCCCACGTCGTCTGTTCCGGAGCATTGGTACGGATATACGAAGCCTGCTGATGGAGCATTGTAAACAGTTACGCATACCTTCCCATGCCAAAATTGTCAAAATAAATATTGATCATCACGTGGCTCGAGGTGTTTAGGTAGGCATGTTTGGCGGTGGATGACGTTTCGGAAGGAAAAATGAATGGGGGAAATAAAAGGAAATGATAACAATAGTAGTAGTCGTAGATAGATCAATGAGGGTTGTTGATGATAGCCTTAGCACTCGGTCGTCAATTCACCTTGACATCTGCTGACCCCACGCGGATCCTCAAGTAGAAAGCCAAAAAGGGCCATGTGCATGAGAAATAGTCGCTTCCAGTTCATAATATGGTAGAGAAACTCATGATCTGATCACAAACCAAAGCTCGAAGTTAAGACAAAGCCATCAACAGCTCCAAAATATACCCATTAGCCTCCTCAAGTGAGGTAATCGCCACGAGAAAATCTGACCGTTTCTCCACCACTAACTAGTAATATCTAGAAAGAATGTTGTCATAGCACATCAGTGTCTTAGGCAAGCGAAGTCTGATGTGCAAGCTTCAGCCCTGTCATTGCCGGAAAGACTGTAAAACTGTCAATGTACCCGTTAGTTGATCCCACAGTATGTATTTGGCCGATGGAATAAGTACTATAATCCAGAGAAAAGGGCAGTCAAGGCAGAAAGAGTAGAGAATCAAACCGTGCATTGGAATTGGCTGTATTATATGTAACTGGTGGGTGAAACCCCGAAAAAAGGGTCGATCCCTAACACCCTATATTAGTTGTCTAGTGACGTTGGCTGCCGACTATCTCATTAGTAGCCCACTTCCAGGTCCTCTCTTTCATTACCCCTCATTGTGTGGATGACGAGGGTTTTGTTTTATCAAGCCATTTAGGCAAACCGCCACACACAAAGGGAACTAAGTACGGAGTAAGGTAAGCCAGAGTAATAATGTGACGCTTTCCCGTAGTTCTACCTAAACTCGACCAGCCACCCAAGCTGTTGTGAATGATGTGCGGGGACAGCATACCCATATGATCCATAGGACTGCAGAATGCACAGCCTCAGTCTGACTTAAACTCCCGAGATTGACTAATATCCTATGCGGGTCGCATTTGTTTGGTAATTGCCAGTGTCACCTTGTCCAGATGAGCCAGACAAAGCGGAGGCGAGCGTAAAGCCATCAATGGATGGACGTCATCCGACTGATCTTCAAGAGACAAGGTCGTAAAGAAATGAAAAATCAAAACATGAAACAACGATCAGTAATTACTGATGACTCAGGAGAAGTGAGCAACTCTAGTATCTTTCTAACAGTCCTTCTCCAGACAACCAAGTGCCTAAAAAAAAAAATAGGGTTAAAAAATACATAAATACATATTAAATAGTGAAAGAGAAATGCATGAGGCTTCTTCCCTCATATAATACTAACTAATCTGCGGAGCCTTTACTTTACTACTGAGTAACCTGAAGGATGAGGAAGCCACTTTGGTTTTCTTACATCTTGTCCAACGCACTCCTACCTGGTATGTAGAATTAGTCTGCAGTACTACCTAGGTACATACATATACATATATTGTTAGTCAGTGGCTGCACTGAGTGATTTGTCTCGTCCACTCTTCACCTCCATCGTCCCGTTGTCCGATTGTCGGGGAATGACTTTCATGGATACGTTACTTGAGAGGAACAGTCAGTACAGAGTAGTTTTTAGAAATAGAATCAGGAAATCTGTGTAAGGTAATGACAACCCTGTAAAATTCAAGGTAGTGGCTCCAATGGGATACTATATTCACATAATCATGGTGGGTACTCATTTACATAGATACTCTGTATAATACATACATACTATACAGCCATTTCCCACAGTGAAGAGATGTGGCTGCAGTTGTATGATACCATACCATCACAAGACGATACCGACAATGCGTCCCATCGGCGAGGCCTGCGAACGGAGGGTTAGTAAATTTCCAGCAAAAATCATCCATCTGATTACTCGATTCTGACAAAAAAAAGAGGGCTTCGGCTCCATGAGGTATTAGCCTCTTACTTCCACAACCGGCAACAAGAAAGTCTCTTCCAATCCCCTTTGTAACCCCAACACAAGGCGTACCCATAGGCACTGATTCCCACCATAATATAAAAAAAAAGAAAAATACAATTCGAGGCAAGAAAAAGACTGGTCGCTTTATTGTAGGAAGCTAAAGGGACGCCCACCCATACTTTCAATATTACTTTACATTACTTTGGTATCATCTAGAAGCTCCGGACTACTATTTCAACCTGGACTTTCCCCCAGCAGGCAACTGCATTCTCACAAGAGACTCTCGCTGGGTACTATACCTTCACTACAGTGCTACTACTACTACGGAGTATTTTAATTTCTTGGATTACTGCCTTTCTCTCCTGCCCCAACTGGAATTTTAGAGCTACATAAGAGTCCAGTCCCATTCTGTGGTTCTCAGTGTGGTACCGTCCCATCTGGACATTCCGTGCCTTGCTGCGCTAATTTTTTCCTTTTTATTTTATTTTATTTTTTTTTTCTCATTTTTTTCCCCTTCCCCTTCCTCGCCCGCCCACTTTTAAGTCAGTTTCGTCACTTTTCAGGGAGACCGTCGCCTCAGGCCACCACCGGTCACCGGGGGCCACCGCACCTCTTTTTTTTTGCCGTCTTCCTCGCCCCCTCCTCTTCCTCTCTCAATTTCTTTCCAACCTCTAAACCTCTTCAATAACAATCTTTTGGAGCCTCTTCAGCTTCGTGCTGTAGGCGTTTATTCTCCTACCTTGTCACGGGGGCAACCTTTGTCACTCTCGTCCTCCGTGTACATTACAATTAGTTACCGCACATGACTCCACAATCTGCTTCACCTGTACCTTCCGCAGTCTCCTCCGCCGCAGCGTCACAGATATCGTACGATCCTCGAGATGGAGAGCCCTCGGTAACACGCGCTCTTGCGGGCATGAATCTGTCCGCAGCGAACGGGGATGTTCTCCCCACGCCTCCTCCGCCTGCGAAAACTGCCAGGCCGACTATGGCAAATCGCATCTCTCGTATGTTTTCCAACACAGGGAAGACAACTTCAAGGGAGCCGGATACCCACCGTGACTTTTCAGACAGCAGCACAGACAGCGTAAAGCCACCTAGTAATGGCAGCGGGAGGCAGTCTAAGCCTACTTCTAGGCCTTCTTCCAGAGCTCCATCGCGACAGACTTCTACGAAGGAGGATAACGAGAGAAAGCCAAAGTCTAGCAGTGGAAAGGATCAAAGAGAATCATCTGCAGCAGCACACAAGCGGTTCGAAGCATTGCCAGACCACGCCCACTGCCATCACCTTAAGAGTACACGGCGGCAGGAAAAATTGACAGACCTCCTTCGGGACATGCTTGGCGGCGGCAGGAAGAAAGACGATCATGTCGATGATCAGCAGCTATCACTCATGTCGACATGGATTGACCAGTTCAAGAATGAACGCGACAAGCTAGCCGCCGATAAAAAGGGTGGTCCCAACGCTACGGCTTCGTTAGTCGATAAATATGGTAAATGCCAGGAGATCGTCGGACGGGGCGCATTCGGCATCGTTCGAATCTCTCACAAAGTCGATCCCAAAGATTCCAGGGTCGAACAACTATATGCTGTCAAAGAATTTCGCCGTCGTCCTCAAGAGACCAGCAAGAAATACCAAAAACGTCTAACCTCCGAGTTTTGTATATCCTCGTCGCTTCGCCATCCGAATGTCATCCACACCCTCGACCTCTTGCAGGATGCTAAGGGCGATTATTGCGAAGTAATGGAATATTGTGCCGGTGGCGATCTCTACACCCTTGTGCTGGCCGCAGGAAAACTGGAAGTTGCCGAGGCCGATTGCTTCTTCAAGCAGCTCATGCGTGGTGTTGAATACATGCACGAAATGGGCGTGGCTCATCGTGATCTTAAGCCAGAAAATCTGTTGTTGACTACTCATGGTGCGCTCAAAATTACCGATTTCGGAAATGGGGAGTGTTTCCGCATGGCTTGGGAAAAGGAAGCACACATGACAGCAGGACTTTGCGGCTCCGCTCCATATATAGCTCCTGAGGAATATATCGAAAGGGAATTTGATCCGAGGGCAGTCGATCTGTGGGCCACTGGTGTAATCTATATGGCAATGAGGACAGGGCGTCATCTATGGAGGGTAGCCCGCAAAGACGAAGATGAATTCTACCAAAGATACTTGGAGGGTCGAAAGCATGAAGATGGTTACGCTCCCATTGAGACTCTGCATCGGGTAAGCGCTGATAATAGTCTATTTGGTGCGTCTAAGCTTACAGATGGCTCGCAGGCTCGTTGTCGGAACGTGATTTATTCCATCCTTGATCCAAACCCTTCTCGTCGTATCAACGCCTCGCAGGTCCTCAAATCCGAATGGGTTCGCGAGATCAAATTGTGCAAGGCTGGCGAGGAGGGATTCTGATCTAGTCAGTGTGTCTTGCCCTTGAGGCTTTGATTTTCGCAGATAGTGTATCCCTAGGGGGCAGAGCCTGGGCGGATTTTGAACATTGGCCTGGACTCTGTCCCTCTCGTGGTAGTCTGCCTCTGTATGCCTAGTTTTGTGATAAAACCGGGTGGCTCATCTGTTTATCCCATTTCCTTGGGGTTTTAGACCTTCTTCACCTGTTTCATAAAAAGGAGGTCCTTTTGCTTTCTATACCGGCGCATGTCTTACCTGCCTGCTAGCTTAAGGGCTTAGTTTGTTTTTATGTTTTTCACGCTAATGCAACGAAGAGTCATGACCTTGAGCTCCTTCTCTTTCCTTCCTTCCTTCTTTCCTTCGTCTTTGTCTTTGCATTTGTTAATCATATATGTTGTATCTCCATCATTCTACTTATCCGGCATGCAGAGTTCAGCGACAGTCTTTCGCCTTTTCTATTTCTGGGTTCTTGGCTGACAGATAAGTTGATGCTACTGACCTACTAGCTCATCTAATTAGGTCGCTATGGAGCTGAGGGCACGTTTAGTTTCCCGGTTGGGTTCCGCTGATTCTGCAATTTATCAATCAGATTGTTTATAAAAGGGCGTTTCATATTTTGTCAGTTATAGCGAACTGCATATCTGTGGGACTGTCTCGTTCATTTGTACTCGGGGTTTGGGCACTTATTATTTGGATACCCTTTGACACTATTTGTTTCAATGCTATTCATATCGGAGTTTTTATAACTTGATGTATCTTTGCTGGTCGTAAACAAGGCTAGCCACTCTCTCCCCCTTTTTAGTTACATATTAATATATTATAATGAAAACTGTTGAAATTCCACAAGAGTTCAAGGGAGTGATGGGGAGAACATGGGCTTTCAGTGGAGCAGCACACTAATGCCTATGTCGTCTCCCATCATGTGATGCGTCGTGTCTCCTTGCCTTAGACTGCAGGACAGAGGCATAGCGAGGTATAGTCTAGTATTTGCCAAGGTATCACTGTCGGCTGGAAACGCCAATTCAGTTGCTATTCTGTGGCCAGAATCTGGATGGCATTGGCCGAGTGAAACACTTCAATGCCTACATTCCTGGTACCAACATGGGTTCATGTTACCCAACCTGTACTAAACCTTGACTTGGTTCGGTGAGCTTTTCGGCTATGCTCTTTTAGTAGAACCACGGTACTTCTTCCTCATGCAAGGCAATATCCTCTTTTTTATCCCCTCCTCTTCTTGTGGGGCCTCTGCGACAGCTGCGATGTGTATGTACATGTCTTAGCAGTGAAGTTATGTCTTCCCCTAAACTAGCTTCAGAGACACAATTACATAGAACTTTGGGTATGTTTTGATTCCTTTTCTTCTGTGCTGAGTGACCATGCATAATATATATTGATGTTATTATATCCGTATAATCATTTAATTACCCCTTGCCCTGGCTGGATTATAAATGGGTAGATTCAGAAGTCCCAAAAACGTACATCTTCTATAGTTGAATAGTTGCAGTCACGGTTATTCACCTCTAGCTATACCCCTACAAGTAGCAGCACCAAGAAGTCACCATCTATAATTTTGGAGTACCCGGCCAGAAAGCATTCCGCAAAAAAAGAGCCCTCACACCTCCCTTTCACCAACCGCCATTGTAGCTTCTGCCTAGTACCCTGACCTACCTTGTGCAAGGTCATCGGCGTCTAGCCATTTGAAATTGACGACGGTTCCAGGCCAAGCTTGCTTGGCACTCCGTGCAGACCGAAAAGTGCGAGAGATTACTCAATAAGAATGTCCAGAGTACTGCGTACCATACATGGTTTTCTTTCTGTGTGAATTGGTCTTTCTTGGCGCCTAGTCCATTTTGCTTTTTCCTTGCATTGGAATTCCTTGGCATTATGCCCTAATGCATGGATGAACCTCGAGAAAGGTTATGGTTGTGTGGTGGTAACAGGCAGCATGATTCTCAGGGATCCCAGGATCCACAATCCACAATCCACATTGGAAGGGCGTGGTTGAAATGTGAGAATTAAATACCAGTATTTTCATTGAGCGAGACTCATAGTACTCGTTTGGTCCGGAAGACCATATCAACTTGCAGGTCCATCTGATCTAAGGCTTAACCGCTCATTTAGGGCTTAGTCAAAGTCACAGTTAACTATATGGTGGTGGTGCTTTTTGAACGCAGTAGTCGTATGTATAAGCTTTGCTTGGTGTAGGACTCCTAACTAGACTTATCTTCTGTCATCCCGATCCATTGCACTTCTATGTGGTTGCTATCATCCATGCGTGCACAATCCTGAAGGGTTGGTATCATACTTATACTCAATAGATCACAACCAAAGACTAGGTTCACGGTGCGAATTTGTTACACTGAGGATGTTACTGCGTAACAGTCCATTTCAAGAGAAAAGAGAAGTTTCTCTGAAGTCGTGCAAGATCCGGAGGAATGTAGTAACATGGAGGGCCTAGAGGTCTTCACACTTATCACCGGGTAGAGTACGGTATTTGAGGATGTCACTCTGAATTAGAAGAGATCGAATTGACATCACCATCCTTGTGTTATCGGATCCAAGTTCAATACATGACGTAAGAGGAGACAGTTGATAAGGATTTAATACCGTATCGTATAAGGCCGCATGTAATTACCGATACAATACACCTCTTCTATAGGGCTGGAGAAAAACGTCTCCTGATAATCACTGGATGAGTGTACATACATACACAGCCACACACATAGCCACATTAGAGGGAATCTCCCCCGAAGTCCCGCATTGCCAGCCCTGTGACAGTCACCTCTGTCTTTTCGAACATTCAACACTATCGTCAACTAATATTCCGCCAGACAATCCAGGCATTTTCTCGTTGCGTACATTACCTGCACATATCCTATCAAAATCCTCACCGCCATCACTTGCTTCATTGCCTACAGTAGTACTCAGTCGGTTCTGCCTGCTTAGCCGTCATCATGTCATGGGCCGGTGCGCAAAGCTTCCTAAGTCCCTTATCTCTACATATGTCAGGTTAAGTGCTGATATGCAGTCTGTGAATCTTAGGGTTCAAGAAGAATGTCAACCGTGCTACCACCCAAGTCATGATGAAGACGGGTATGTACATTATTATATAGCCCCGCGGCTCGAGACGACCAAGTGACTGTTGATATGAGCGGTACTCAGTTGCTGATATAGTATAACCTGTACAGGTCATGTGGAGAGGACAAACGATCGTGACTATGAAATCGAAGAACGGTAATGGCATCGAGAGATCTGGCATAAGCTAAGCCAGTCACTGATGGGATCCCATAGGCGATACCGGACCATGGAAGCTGCTGCCAACCGTCTACAAAAAGAAGCTAAAGGCTATCTAGATTCATTACGAGGTAGGATTCTTTCTCGTTCAAATGGAGCGAAATGCTAAGTCCTTGGTTGTGACAGCAATGACTGCCTCCCAGATGCGTATTGCGGAGACAATCGATGCCTTCTACGGTGATGCTGGAACGCGCGATGGTGTGAGCAGGAGCTACAAACAGGCTGTGGAAGATCTGGATGCCGAAACGATAAAAGCCTTGGATGGGCCATACAGGTGTGACGTCTTAATATTAGAAATTCCATAGCTGCCGCTAACTGGTTTACTAGAACTACCGTTCTTGAACCGATCTCGCGCTTTTGTGCCTACTTCCCTGACATCAATGAGTGCATCAAGAAACGCAATCACAAGTTACTCGACTATGATTCTATGCGAGCCAAGGTGAAGAAATTGGTCGAGAAGCCAGACAAGGACGCTACAAAGCTTCCCAGAGCGGAGCGCGAAACTGAAATTGCTAAGCAAGCATACGAACAGTTGAATGAACAACTTTTCACCGAACTCCCGCAACTTATCGACCTGCGTGTACCTTATCTGGATCCTAGCTTTGAGGCTTTGGTCAAGATCCAACTGCGTTTCTGTGCTGAGGCATACTCTCGCATGGCACAAGTGCAACAATACCTTGACGCGGAAACAAGAGACCAGTATGCTCGGGGCGACTTGGATAACAAGGTAGAAGAAGTATTGCAAGAGATTCGTGATTTGAGTATAGCGGGAACTGTTTGATCTGTGAAATTAGTTGTATCATTGCTGGCCTGTTTATCATTTGCTCTACAGAACTAATGCTGTCGAGGCTTGCCTACGGGTCTGTTATCTCGCTTGTCCAAGGGTCTCCAGGCCTAGGAGTCATTACATATTATGTCAAATTTTCTTGACCAGTAGGATAAGAGAAGCAGAGTGTGTATACTAGTTAAAAGCAGATACGCCTAAGCCCTGATGGTAATGGCTCCGAATTTTGGAATGTTGCGGCATTATGGACAAGTAAACAAGCCTTTTCAGTGAATTTTCAGGCATTGCTGGCGCAATCTGTGTCTTAATGTACTATTTTGGGTATCTGTCTATATGGTTCTATTTATCTGTACAATATTTTAGCCTCATCGACTGCTGTATAGCTCACCACAGTTATTCACGAATATCACAGCGCGCTACCACCACGGTATATTTCATCTGCTAAGATGTCCAACACCGGTCCAGCTGCCGCACGTACTGCAGCCATCTCAGTGTTGTTCATTTCCGTGAGAACATAGTCTGCAACATCGCCTCGATCTCGGGTTGATGGACGACCGATCCCGACGCCTATTCGCAATACAGAAAGGTCTTCATGCGAACGATTTTCGCCAGGACTTGTACGCGGTGGGTACAAGCCTTTTCCTCGTAGACTCTCCATGATGCTGATCAAACCTCGATGGCCGCGCAAACTGGCCTTTTCAGGCCCACCCCGTTTTACTCGGACTTTTCCCAAGGGCGCCTCCAGTTCATCGTGGAGGATCACCAGGGTGGGAGCTAAGGATCTCAGCAACTGAGGATCAGTGCCACGACGCTGCCATTCGGGGTTCTCAAGATCTGCAGCCTCGGTCGTCTTAGAGAGCACCACATTTCCCTGCATGACCACCTTCCCCAATATCTCGGTCTGTGTTGTAGATATCCAGTTCTTCAATTGTCGAACAAGCTTCGGACCCGACTCATTCATGTACGATGGGCTATACCACGTCCGATAAAACAAGGGCCCGGCAGATGGCTGGTGTTTGGTGGAAACCAAGGGAAACCTGTTGGGTAGAAGAGGTATTAGGGCATCGAGGAGAATATGTCCAGCGCTGTGACGAGTTTGGCGGTAGGGACGGGGATTTCCAATTGACGCGATAAAGAGGAACCGGCGCGGAGTCTTCACTAGAGATATGTGGGTTGCCATCGAATATGGTATGTTTTGTTGGAACTGTGATATGATATGAATGGATATGGCCCCTTTGCGCCTTTCATTAAAATGTGTTTTGTTGGGTGTTTGTCTTTCTAGGGTCCGATGTGAGGAACTAGGTTTAAAAGGACTGACTCAGCGTTCGTGTTATGACTCTGTTAGGAGGACAGAACCAGTACACCATTAGAGTATGTAGATATACAAGTGAATAGGAAAAGTGTCGTTGTTTGTTTGATAGGCAATTAAATAATAGGGCAGGATTTGTTCTGGTTGCAACGGGAGATCGTCCCTGGATGGTTAAATTATAACTCTCGTATTTTGACCAAAGTTGGCTTCTATCGTTACTCATCCATGTATTGAAAATAGATACAGTACGGTATTTGACGTATTGAATCTTTTGTCACTCGTATATTCAGTTTCCTTGGTCACCATGTGAATCAAAGAGTCTAGGCTGGGTTCGATTAGGGCTGATCATGGCAGGAGATCTACGAAGTCCCTCGATGCACGGGACATAGAATTCGTATTGGAGAACAGACGATACTATAATACAGCTTAATCCAGGCCCAATGACGAAGCTGAGAAAACCCGCTTAAACATCGTCCATCGGACGTTATCTCCTTATGTCTGACGGTAATCCAACCCGTCCTCCTCACCAATGAAACGCCGCAGGTTCTTGATCTCGAGATCCGACCCGGTGACTGGGTGATCGAATCGAGTGCTTTACCTATATCCCAATGCCACAATCATTGCTTTCTACGTTGTATGTTTGGCTAGAGTCTCAACATCTCCTTTCAGCTAGATGAAACCTTTGGCCTCATCCATATACGTGGCCTGTCCGCATTCGGGGGTATTCGACAACTGGGAATTCACCTATCAATAAGCGTTCACACAACTTGCACTGAGGGATTCGATCACAGATACAGATCCTGCATGCGACACTGTGACATACCCTAAACCTGATTCGTATGTAGAATTTTCTGGTCCACTTTGCGCTCCGCCGCCGAAGAGACTGGAAACCTAGACAATCTGATCAACCTGCAACCCAGCGCGCCTCGCACAGCAGGGTTTGTGCACATTCATACCCTGGAACGCACGACGCCAATAGGCCTCTCGTCAAAAGACGTTAGGCAAAATGGTCCTGATCGCTGCCTTCGAGGACCTGGAGTTTTATAATCCAAGGAGCTTTTGGCGATTACGGGACTCTAGTTTATTAAATGGCCCATGTAGTGAAATAGTAACAGCACATATTTTTGTGTTTCTTCCTTTCTAATGTGTCAACATAGATGGCCAGTTGGCCGCAGATAAACCGTACAATCGTAGATGAAATGTCACATCAAAATCATTATCTTTAGATTCAGGTGGTATTTTCTTTTCTTTTTTTCTCTTCCCACCCAACTCCCATCCTTTTGTCGGTCCCGTACTTCCGTTTCGTAGAGCTTCCAGGCTGCATACCCAATACTGGCAACACCTACTGTGTACTGACGAAAACAAAAGCCACAAGCAATGTTTTAGGTTGAACGGTCACCAAAAAGAACACCTTGAAGAATTGCCTCGCCTTCGTCTTGACGCCAGTGACCTGTATCTGTCAACTGCTGTTTCCACATAATCTGATCTCTCTCGGTGAGGTCCTCCCAGCGGCGTAGGCCCCCGTCAGGTGCATTATGATATGCCCTGTTCGTAGACTCTATGAGGATCTCGTCTGTATCGCGGTTGCGACGGACAACAATAGAGGTATGTGATAGAGACGCAGCGGAAGAGGATGGGTCGTTTGCTGCAAGATCGGTATCAAGGATTGAATCAATCGCATCTGCTGCTTGACGTGCATGAAGAAGATCACGTAGGGAGCGGTGATGTAGGGTGGGAACTGGCGACGAAAGTGTTGAGTGCATTGACATAGTGACTGATGGCACTGCTAAAGGATGCGACGCAGGTTGATGATATGGACGCGCGACGGCGACACGAATATCGGGGGGGAGCCATTCGGTGGCTCCGAGATATGGAGGCATAACACCCCTGATCTCGGTGAAAGCCTGAAGGAGGAAGCAGACAATGAAGATAGATAACAGAGCAGTCAGCCCACTGGCGAAGTTAGCCCAAGCATCCGAACTTCCTGGCATGACTAGGACATAGCGCGGTGAACGACTGGAGGGCGGCGATGGGGCGAGTGGGAGCGTGTGTACGACAACGGTATTGCCCATACTGACGGAGGCAAGCTTGAGATATTGTGGTGGCGTCTCAGGCCTAACTGGGTTCGGCGGAGGAATGAAAGAAGAGAAGCATATCTTTGTCATGGAGAATGGATGGACGTCGTGGAGGGTAGTGTAGGGACGTAGCTTCCCGTAACCTCCTCTCCTAGGGTTGTACTCGAGCGTCAGGACTTCGATAGATTGATCACTTCCCGAAACGGCAATGATGATTTGTTCCTGGTTCTCGAGATTTGAACCCAGATTGCACACGTCCAGGCCAAGCCCAATCTTGATTGCTTTGCGGAGCTTCTTACGCCGGATGATGGTTGCAGATGACTTTGATTTCGGTGATAGCCTTTGCGACAAATCAAGAAGCACGAGCTCGCAGCCTTTACGGTCTGGTAAATTCTGAAGCAAAAGCAACATTGTGCGGGATAGGAAGCGCAGGGCTCGAAATTTGGGCCTGGGTTTGGTTGCTGCTTCAGACAAAGGCGTACTATATACGCAATGTACATCAGGTGATGCATTAGATCTCGTTGACGATGAGATCTGACAGGTGTACACGTCAGTGCCATTGGTATAGGCAACCTGGTATTTGCCATCGTCCAAATCCGCAATATCTACATCCTCAGCTTCCTCATCACTACCCAACCGTATCCTCCCCATGATATCCGATGTACTGGGTGTAGGAGTAACATGAAAAAGGACGATCTCTCCTGATGGAGCCAATCCAGTCGCAACCGCCGCTATACGCGGAGACTCGACATCTTTCCACGGCGAGAGCCGTAAAACTCTTTGATATGTGTCAGGACCGCCGGCCTTCTCTGTTCCTTTGGTGCGGAATAAAGATGTACGAGATAATGCAGTGGTCTTCTGGGAAACTTGATTGCCAGTTTCCCTATCTGCTTCTCCATTTGCGACTTCTTCGGTCGAATTATTCGTGAAGGATCTTTTTCGCGGGGGGTAATCAATCTCGAAAGATCTTAGATGTTGGTTATTGCCACGCTTTTGCTCAGCTACAGAGCTATTGATACCAGCAAAGGCAATAATAGAATCATCGCTTGCATGCGCCGTTGCCAATGAAGTAACGGAGTCTTCGTCGCGTGATAGTTCGATATCGACCACCTCGGAGATTTCGTTGCGTTTGGATGTGTCCAGCAGTGCCTGTTGTTGTGCCTCGAATATTAGCGCACTGACAATAACCAAAAGACTTTGGATTTAGAATATAGGGACAGAGCAATCTCGAATCATTGTCCCAGAAGGTATAGGGTGGCACTTGCGATTTTGTTCCCAACGCCGCTACGCCCTTCGCCGCCTCCGCCCGCGACAAGAAGATAGCCATGATTGCGCGGGTCGAAATCAGCGGCAAAGAGAGGACAGGATAGGGTCAATTTAGCCGAAGGAACGAGTGGCGCCATGATCGGGATGGACTCCTCGTCCTGGACAAGGGAAGAGTTGAATGTGTATTCAGTACTAGCAAGGGAGGGAATCGAAGTTACAGGCCAAGTAAGCTACCGATGACGTTCGGCCCCGGATTTAATATAATTCAAACCAAACCTCTTGGCAGAGAAGGACTCCACCTACGTAAGATCTTACAATAAATGGATAAGACAGTGACTTCATTCTGGAATGAAATCGAGAAGCAATGGAGAGATACTATGTAGAAATCATCATAATAGTTTTTGGCGGAGATCCGTAAAGATCTCGAACACTGTTCGCCTCATTTCTAGTACAATTCTAATCTAATCAACTTCTTGTCCAGTAAATTCAGGCAGCCGCTTGCGAATATCTTCCCATGTCTCGTCGCCTTCTACCAAGGACTTGAGAGCCTGCAAAATCTCATCCTCGCTAGCACGGACCTGCTTAGTCGAGTCACGATCACGCAAGGTGAAGGTGTCGTCCTTCACCGACTGAAAATCAACAGTGATACCAAACGGCGTGCCAAGTTCGTCGTTGCGTGCGTAACGCTTTCCAATGCTAGCCGAGGAATCGTCAACCCGGTTGGAGATGCCCATGCGCCGCATCTTCATCATCAAACGATGTGACAGAGGACGGAAAGAAGCATGGTTCGAAAGAGGTACAATGAGAACCTTGGTAGGCGCAATTGCTGGTGGGAAGGACAAGACCTATATAATACAGATATTAGCGGGGATCAATTCAACGTACTACGGCGAAGGACAACAGCTTACACCACGCGCTTCATCACCCTCTCGGGACCAGTACACATGTTCGAGGGTACTGTACAAGATGCGGCCAATGCCAAATGATGGCTCAATGACGTTGGGCGTGTATTCACGGACATTCTCTATCCGTGTCCGCTTCTCGATCTTGATCAAGTCCTTATCCAGTTCAACTCTGCCTGAGCCGACGCCCTCTACATCCACCTCAATCTTGCCTTGCTGCTCCAGATCGAGAGCCAACTTCTCACGGAATTCCTGAGAGAGCGCCTCGACGGCGGCTGCAACAGCCTTGCCGTCCTTCTTAAAGCGAGGGCCGAACTTCTTCTTGTCCAAGTCGACCTGCCATTCTTCAATTTTGAGGGGCTCAACTCGAGGCTCACGGACAACAAGAGGCGCCCCGGTCTTGTTCTTGTGCACAGTCAAGTCATAAGCACTGCGGTCGGCACAGCCAACACATTCAATCCAACCATAGCTGGTCTGCAGCTCGGCATCCCAGCAGTCAGCAGCGTAGTGAGCCATTTCATTAGCCATGTGTTGACGGAACCGGAGCTTCGCTGGGTCCACACCCAACTTGAGGAGGAAGAGCTGAATGCGGGCAAGGAAGTATCCGAGAGTTTCGTTGTCAACCAGACCGGATTCAATGGCTTTGCCGATGGTCATCTTCGTGGTTTGTGTGCTTCCAGACAGCTGCACATCACGGCTAAGCAAGGAAAGTTCGATGTCTTTCATTTCTTGAAAGCGAGAATGTTTTTTGCCTCCCTCTGGGTCCACATAGTGTTCAATCTCAGCCATGAGGAATTCGCGCACTCGCAGCAGACCGGCACGGGGCGAGATCTCATTCCGGAACGATTTGCCAATGGAAGCCGACGCAAAGGGCATTGACTGCTGGTTGAAGTCCAACAGCTTCTGGAAATTCAGGAACTGTCCCTGAGCGGTTTCAGGGCGAAGGTAGCCAGGCATATTGCTGCTAGGACCGATTGAAGTCTGGAACATCAAGTTGAATGCAACCGGGGGAAGAAGATTGCCATCGGTCGTCGGATTTCTGATATCGTACTTGGTGATGATTTGTTCCAGCTCCGGGCCGTCATAGTTATCAATTTGCGCTAAAGTCTCCTCATACTCCTTGACGACAGCATCGTCTAACCGGACAGCCTTGGTCTCCTTAGCCTTTTTCTTCCTCTTTGCCTCCTTCTCTTCGTCCACGACAACCTTCTGGCCACGCGCTTCCTTGTCACCTTTCAGACGAGCCTCAAGGACCTCCTCTACCAGGTGGTCCGCGCGGAAGATCTCGCCGGTTTTGGGGTCTTTGCACATCCAGTCGGCAAATTTCTCGACATGTCCGCTAGTCTTGAGAATTTCATGCGGGGTCAGCATGGTGCAGTCAACCTCCAGCATGTCCTCCTCGAGCACGAAATGCTTCCGCCACAAATCGACAATATTATTTATAAGAGCGCAACCAGGAGGGCCGTAGTCATATAGGCCGGATACCCCTCCGTAGATCTCGAAGGAGGGGGTGTAAAAAAGTCGACGGCGGAGCATCGACTCCAAGACCGTACGGTCAATGACCTGACCGGTCTTGGTATTAACGGTCGCCATGATGGTGTTCTTCTTTTTAGAACCTTGGGCGGCTCGAAAGGTGACGGGGGAGGGTGAAAAAGATCGCGTGCCTATGGCGGGGTTCCAACGAGGAAATTGGAATTGGCGGCGGGGAAGAGGAAAGAGTCGAGCGAACGAAGAAGCCAATTGAGTCATCCACGTGAGCCGCACCGGTCGCAGTGGAACACCACACAGTTGAGTGGAAACAGAATCAAGGTATAAGATATAAGAAAGAAGGCGGAGGAAACAAAGCGAGAGAAAAAAAAAAAATCTATATATAATAAACAAGCTAAAGGATTGAGATTATTTTCTTTTCTCTTTCAAACGATTCATCAAGGAGTCCGGATTATCTCCCTAATCTCCTTCGAGTCGATATCCTACCGCCGGCGAAATATTTCTCCGCCAAATTTTATCTCAAAACTAGATCCATAGGTTCTCTCATCCATTTTTGAAGAGCGCCTCTGGGATTCCCGGTTTATCCCTGTTCCAAGATGGTTTCCAGGAAGTCGCAGGCGAAGCCTCCTCCAAGTGCTAATTTAGATGTGAAACCCGCCAATAAACTCAGGCGTCAACTTCTCCATATCAAGCGGAAGCGGCTCAAGGACTCCACTCGACGAGCAGAACGATATCAGATTAAGAAAGAAGAGGCTAAGAACCCAAAGCTCAAGCATGAGCGCTTAAAGCGTAATATTCCGCTTACTATCGATCGCAAGCGGGTCTGGGATGATGCCAATAGTGACATCGAAGACGGTCTGGGATTGAGTGTCGACGTCGAGCGCATCAAGAAACAAAAGCAGGAAGAGGAAGATGAATGGAACAAGCCGTTGGAGCGCTCTGATGAATCGCAAGATGATTCCGATGACCAAGATGAGGTCGACAGCATGCTAGCCAGCAGTGATGACGACGACGACGACGAAGAAGGAGGAGATAACGACAACGATAACGCTGAGAGGTCTCGGAAGTCTAAGAGATCATCTCTTCCATCCGCTACAGAGCGTGCAACAAGTCCGACTCAGTCAACCAAGAGCACAAACCTGAGCCTAGCTCCGGAAGCCCTAGCAACCAAGTTCCCGTCGTTGTTTCCGTCGGAAACACCACCGACGCCCAAAATTCTCATCACGACTGCCCTGGTAGGTTCATATATTCGCTGTTACAGTCTAGGTGCAACACGCTCCATTAAGCATGTGGGAGTGTTGCAATGGTGTTCGCTAGGTATCCGTGCTAATCATTGGCAGAACTCAACCCTTCATAACGAAGCCAAAGCTCTTACAGATCTTTTCCCTAATAGCCAGTATATCCGCCGTACAGCGCATCGTTATTCCCACAAGTTTTCATTGAAAGAAATAGCAAAATTCGCAGCAAATCGCAATTACACTACTGTATTAGTCCTCCAGGAAGATTCCAAACGACCGTCTGGCCTCGATGTGATACACCTACCCAAGGGTCCCATGTTCCATTTTACTATTAGCAACTGGGTAGATGGCAAAAAGATCCCCGGGCATGGTGTAGGCACTGAACATTGGCCTGAATTGATTTTGAATAACTTTCGCACGCCTCTTGGGATTTTAACGGGTGCTATTTTCCGCTCATTATTCCCACCGCAGCCTGACATTGAGGGGCGCCAGGTTGTGACATTACACAACCAGCGTGACTATATCTTCGTCCGCAGGTGAGTTGCTCTTGTCACTCTGTTTTAGGCTTAGAGGATGTTGGGATTTTGACTGTCTCTGCAGGCATCGGTACATCTTCCGAGAGAAGAGAGAGACAGAAAAGAGCGTAGTTGATGCAGACGGAAAGGAGATGAAAGGGGCCGAGGGAATAAGAGCAGGCCTTCAGGAATTAGGGTGTGTGATCCTGTTATTCTTATTTCCCTCTTGATATATACTAATAAATCGTCGAACAGGCCTCGGTTCACCCTGAAATTACGAAGAATCGACAAGGGCATCCAAAGGGCGAGTGGGCAGGAATGGGAATGGAAGGCTGGAATGGAGAAGCAGAGGACCAAGTTCCAGCTATGATAGCTTTAATGCCAATTCCATCTGTGTTGGTCGGAGTTAGGGATAGATAAAAAAGGAGACAACAAAAGGACTTTATTGGATATATTGTGAGTTGATATTAATTATACTTTGGACGCCAAGCTTTTCACATATCCACCAAACGTGAAGTCCCATACGCTATCCAATGCATTCATTGATAATAGGGCTCTCAGTGATGTAGCGGCTCGTTGCCTCCTTTATCGTTCTGGACCGAATTCAGCCATTATGACGTCTGATGAACATACAGGGCGGACGTTTGTATATTTCTAGTCCTTCCCGGGCACTCAACCTCGAAGGACCATAACTATCATCAGAGATTGCTTGTTCTATCTCGCTGGAGAAGATGCGAAGGTGGCTCAGTCCGAACAACACAACAAACGCAGAATTGATTATTCACGGCAGTAGAAGCTGTTGCAAACGAAGATTTAGACACCAAACATAACGCCTAATTATCCATGCCAAGTCCGAAAGACATAGCTTTATAATTTGGATATCACATAAGAAAAAAGATGATTGTAATGCAAGTCATAAGCGAACAGATATCATCCGAAGGCACGTAAATGGGACCCATATGTGCGTGAGACAAGTTCTAATGTAAATCGTAAAAGGTGAAACATGGAGGGTGGGGTTAAAGCTCGTCTCAGTTTTGTGTTATCACCACAGCATGCGATCTCCGGCACATCACTGTCCATTGTTCTTCTTCCAACGGAGCAACTCCGCAAGGCTAGGAAGACTACAGCCAGATTTCAGGAATTCGTGAGCTAGCAGTTCATCCGCAGTGGCACGGCTGCGGACGTCGACACACAGACACTGGCTGAGGAAGGATTTGAGCTCCTTGCTCAACTTTTCAGGCTTCTTTAGACGAGGAGTGCCATTGGTGGCAATAAGATATAGAGCTTTAAGCGGTTCCTCGTTCAGGTAAGGGGGCTCTGACTCTATCATCTCAATAGCCATAATTCCTAGTGACCAGCAGTCGACCTTAGGTCCATATTCTTTCTGTTTGACAACTTCTGGGGCCATCCAGTATGGCGTCCCGACCATCGTTGCACGCTTGCTCTTTGATTCAGTAAGTTTAGCACAGAATCCAAAATCGGCTACAATCCGTTGTTAGCATGATATTGGACTGTTCCATAGATGGGGGCTACTTACTAATCTTGACATGACCAGCGCGGTCAAGAAGGACATTGTCACTCTTGATATCACGGTGGATAATGTTTTGGCTATGTAAGTGTGCCAGCCCTTTGCAAGTCTAGGGAGATGATTAGTATAATCCCCGTGTATTTTGCCGTCTTATCGCGCTGAGCAGCATCAACGTACCTCTGAGCAAATGGTAGCAATCTGATCTTCCTGGATTACAGGGTTATTGTCGATGACATCTGTGAGGGCACCGCCCTCCATGAATTCCATAACAACCCAGAGCTCATTGCTTTGTTCTTGCAGGAATGAGTCAAGGAAATTGACAATATTGGCATGCTGACTGTCTTTCATTACAATGATCTCATTGACAATAAGCTCCTTTCGTGGTTGACTACGCAGATCCATTTGTTTGATTGCGACTTGAGTCCGGGGCCCATATTGGCGGTACAGTTCGCGGGCAACCGGAGACACAGCATGTTCCTTCACACGTGCGACATACACAGATCCAGAAGCGCCTTGTCCAATCTTACGTTGCTTACTGTAAGATTCGTTGGGATTGTCTTTAGAGACGACGGACCTAAGCCGATCCATGACTTCGTTCTCAGACATTGCCGACATGCGAACTTCCCTCTGCCGGGGCTCAGCTTTCTTAGTCAGGGCAGCTTCAGCTTGACGGACACCATCAGGAACGTTCTTATTAGTTGCCTGTTTGTTCGCAATATTCAGTGGCTTCACTGGCTGCACGGGAGCAGGAAGTTTGCTGGGTGGTGGGCCCTGAGCCTGCTGTTTGGTACCATTGTTCTGAGCGCGTGCCGCAGAGGACTGTGCTCGCGGATCATGCGCAGGGTAACGCGAGCTGGGAGAAGATTGGTCTGACCCCGGAGCACGTGCAATTCCGGGGCCGTTGGCCGATATGTACTCCCCCGGCCGTTGGCCCTGGTTGGAACTAGTCGGAGGAGCTGGCGCTGGGCGCTGAGCAGTGAGCTGGCGTGCAGAGTCTTGTCGAGCCGAGCCAGGAGCCTGCGGGGCGGGACGGCCTGGTTTGTAGCGGTCGTTCATCGACGGATCGGCGCCATAGCCGCCGAGCTCCTGTTTGGCCAGAGGGACGCGAGTCTTTGGAAGTGAGGCGTTGTACGCTTCTTGATCGAGCCTATTTTGCTCTTCTTCACGTTGACGAGCACGGCGACCTTCTTCCTCCATGCGCCGACGCTCTTGGTCCGCCATCTCCTTCATCCTCTCCAGCTGTTGCTGCTGTTCCAAAGCACGATCTGAGTCTGATTTGCTGTGTGTCTGCGAGGGTGATGAACCAGCGGAACGATTGGAGTGGCCACTGTCTAAGCGCTGGGATGGGGCTGGTGGCGGCGGTCTTGGAGGAGCAATAGAACTGCCCACCGTATTGCTGTTGTAAGTTTTTGGTTGCTGGTTTGACTGGGGAGAGGCTAATCCGGCATAATACTGTGGGTTCTGTTCGCGCATCTTTATATCAGAGTAAAACTCGAGAACTTCGATGACGGCTTGGGGGTTCTTCTTATAGTCTTCTTTGGTGATAGCCGATGCAGTCAGCAGCTTCTCCCACTCAGGCGGTAATCCCACAAAGGCGCCTGTCCGCGGGTCGAAGCCGACGTGAACGCGGTGGCTAAAATTGGTCGGGTTGCTCACGCCTCCCATTCCCGGGCAGCGCTCGTAGATCTTGTCAATCCAGTCATAGATCTCGTCATCACTCTTGACCTCGCAGGTAATACTCTTAGTTGGTACGTCGCGTGTGATCAGAGCAGCCTTAGAGGTGGCATCTTTCGGATTGGCCAAACGAATAACTTCGAAGGCCATCCGAGTGTCTTCGGAACGGGAGACAGCGGTGACCGTCTCAAGGGGGATAGACAAGACTACCCTACCCGTCTCGTTCTTCAAAAAGTCCAATCGAAACTCTCGAAGTATCAAATATCGCTGGTTCCAGGTAGCCAGAAATTTGTCTTCCTTGCAACGAACATATCCTTCTTTGATGACGGTTACCCCTCCTTGTCCTGACTGGTTGGTTTTTGTTTTTGAGAGAGACGGGGTGCTAGTATTCGGGAATAATGACAAGTTGGCGGACCCTGGCGTACTGGGGGAGTCTAGGCTCATTTGGCTGAAGGACGTGACCGTATTTGAGGAGTTAGCAGGCAGGTTAAGCTTCGGGCGCTCGGCTGGTGGGCGCGGTGCTGGCCCAGGATTCATGAACTGGTCGGGAGAGTACATCCTGTGTGTCGCCATCAGTTACTGTCCAAAGGTCCAATATCTTTCGGATGATACAAAAATAGGGACAAAAGCCATCAGTATATGCCGTAACAAATACACAATGGCTGCTAAGCAGTAGTGGTAAATAAGAGCAACACCGACTTACTTTCCATAAGTTGAGGGGAGAAGCGCGCTGGCTCCAGAAGTAACTTCTTACTTCACAGCGGGTACGAGGGGTATCCGTGGATGGTTCGGTTGTTTGTGCAATTACTGTATATTGTCAGGGATGGAGTCAAACTTCTTAGCACAAAACTGGCGCTTCAAGCCCCGTGAGTCCCAAACCTAAATGGTCTGGTGCGCAGCATCGGGAATCCTACAACAATAGGAGTCGATATGGGGGGAGTATTGCCGGATTATTTTCCTTTCATTTTTCTTCTTTAATGATGCTTTGGACAAGAGAGACCTTACCTGACAATACCTTTAGCTTTGAAAGAACCGAAAGGTCTCCTCGCACCAGCGAGTATGACCGAGCGCAAAGGACCCTTCAGAACGCGGTGAGAAGAGTCGCCAATTCAGAAGCGACAAGAGTAAGGGACGTATGTGAGAAAAGGGACTTTCCTGTGGGAAACAGTGAAGCGAATAAGAATGTGTTATATTAACAATGCATAGGAAAGAGGAGAAAAGCGTGGAAGGGAGAGAAAACAAAGTAGCAGGCGAGGGGTGGGAATCCAAGGAGAACGGAGGGGGGAAAGAAAGGGAAGGGAAATCGTTAATGAGGTTTCACTAACAGCGGGAGCCATCGCAAGTCAAGGGGTGCGGCACTTGACATAGGAAAAGCGCTCAGGCTTCGAGAGCGGTAACGGTTGCAAAGAGAGTTCTAGGATCTACTAAGACATTCCTATAATAACGGTTTATCGATATCTTTATTTACTCTCCTTTACATTCTTGCTTTAGCTAGATAATGATAATGATACAAAGGTTCCTCATATTTGAATGAATATATTTGATACACTAGTACTTTATTTCTACCGTAGTTACATCATATTCAGGGCCATTAGCTAACAGGATAATATCCATCAGACAGCGAATTCGTATCGGAGGCGGAGCGGCCACGTTCAATACTTAGACCTTTGGGTTAAGTGAGGAAAGGTTGTACTAGGAGGAGAATACTGTATTTTTTTCTGACAAAAAGATAGGGTAGTCTGCGGTAAGTGTTGTAGAGTTATTGCTACCCAAAGAGATTGGGAGACACAGTTGCAGGTGGACTGACGGTGTGAATCACATAAATAACGAGACTGGACCAAAAAACCCAGTTCCCTGATGAAAAGGCGACGACGATGAAGGCTGAAATGTAACTCTCCTAAGCATGCTCGGCAATCTCCCGTCAGGGCGCCCCCTAACTTAAGTAATTAGTAGGCATTGACACTTCTATGAACGATTGTACACGGAAGACCATCCTAAGTAGTCCCTACGACTCCCTAGAGCATCTATGTCTGTTCAAATATCCTGCCACTGTTTGTATGTACCCAGTCACTATCCCTTAAACCAATCACACCAATGTGTGTACTCCTAATCTTCCCCAAAGATAGAACCCCGGCCCACGGGTTGTCGTTCCATAGATCCAAGAACTTGGGCGGTCCACTCGCCTGATACAAGCAACCTCATTTTTTGTTTCTCTTCTCCTAAACTATAATTCACAGATCGACCGCCAACTAAAGACCAATCAACCGTATGCATGACAACTCCCAGAGTATAGCAGCGATACCTACTCATATAGACTGTCTACCTACTGGTAGTACCAGCTAACCTAGAGATAGGCTTGTCACAATTGAGACCGCCCGGGGGAGTCGTTCGCTGGCAGAAGGTGGCTGAGTAAATAAACTTTAGAAAGTGTTCATATAATAGTTAGAATATGGATTGTTCTCTGTCGGTTCATCACGGTTCTTCACCGAAGGGGTAGTTAAATTTGAGCAGCCCATTCAAACCGCCAACCCATCCATCATGCGCCTCACCACCCATAATTCTCCTCATCACACATGGTACTCCTCCCTGCCATTCGTTTTTGCCGTGCCGCATCTCTTCATTCCATACTCGGACCTCCATACCAACAGCCATTCCCTGACCCATGTTGACCCCGTCAATACTCATCTCTAATTCACGACCCCGGTTCTTTTCACTCAGTTTCAACGTAATCGGCGTGCTAGATGGTAAAACCAAAGGCCGGAAACTCAGACTTCGGGCGCAGATTGGAGTTAATAGAACCGAAGGTACCAAGGGATGCACAATACTGCCACCACTACTCAAGCTATATGCGGTACTACCCGTGGGCGTCGAGATAATGATCCCATCCGCCACTGCCTCTGTAAGGAATCGTCCTCCGACATAAACATCCACCACCGCAAGATGCGGCTCCTTGCCACGATGGAGAAGCACCTCGTTCATTACGTACACTCCCTGGCTGCTCAACGTATTCCGTACGGAAGTTGAGCCTCGGTCTTGCTGAACAGGTCTCCCGTCAGCAGTGAAAAGCCCAACTTTTAGGCGGTTTCGCATCAAAATGCGAGCTCCGCGGCTCGAGCCCATTGATTTCCCACGAACCGACGACCATCCCGTGGGGCCTGTCTCAGAATCCGCTTGATAATCCGTCGCAGTACACCTCGACGCTTCTAACATAGGAGCTCGATCCCCTACTCCCGCACCGGACATGTATACCTCACGAAATGCGCGTTTGTACTCCTCGAACTTCCACTCGCTTAAAAACCCCAGTGTACCCATGCTGAATGAAAGCACCGGGGGCACATTGTAACATGTAGCGAACAAGGAAGAAGCATGCAAAATAGTTCCATCCCCTCCAAGAGTAACCGTAAGGTCCGCTTTATTATGTAACCCCGAGGCTAGCCTGCTCAATGGAGCTGAGTAGATGGGAAAAGGGAATTTTGAATGCACTTCTTCGGCAGTCTTTGGCTCTAGGATCAGGGCGATAGATGGATATGTAGATGTTACATGACTAGGCAAAAAGCTGTCAGTTGTATTCTCCAAGGTATCAAGACGGCTCCCATACTTTGCAAATTCAATCAGAGATTCCGTCACTGTTGGCACGCAATCCTTTTTCACAACAAAGACATTCCGAGGGGGTGCTGGCCATTGAAGAGAAAGGAGATCGCCCTCCCAAGATTCTGGGACAAAGGATCAGCAAGGCATAGTCTAGTGTCACCTTCTTTCGCGTTATCTCAAGAGGCGGAAGCGGTTTTGCAGTTTGCAGAGACGCACACCTTCGTATTTAGGTAATAACCGGTGAGGTAACGTCTCGATATCTCTGATTTCACAGCGGCGAAGAGAAGATGAAAAGGATCGCTTCCATGGTGTATACTTGGCTATGCTAATCATGGACCGAAATGATTGCGTTCGAAGAGTAGTCGCTTGCATGTTGAAAAAGGAGTGAGCAGCTCAAAATAAGGCTTGACACAGAGATTAGCGCTGTGAACAGCGGCTATTTTCATTGATCTAATAAAAGCTCACTTGTATTTTTCCCTCTTGCATCTTCCGGGCTCAACTTCTGGGGGACAACACTAATCTGAAGCATGGAATCATTCCCGGAAGACGTATATTTATCGAAGCCTTGAATTTGTATTACCGTTCCCGTTAAAGAAGAAGGGAGAGAGTGTGTGAGTGAATGAACGAAGGTCACTCCGGATCTTTGATGGGGTGAAGGATAAGGTGGTCCCCAGAATGATCTACTCCGGAGCTGAAGAGCCTGACCGCCCTGAGAGCCTGACGTATGAGGGAGAGAACGTCACAGGTGCCTTGCCTGTGGACTATTTACCAGCAGTGGATGTCTTGGCTTTCGGGTTCACAAGATCCCCTCCTGCCAATAGTTGCGGTCAGGCGTTTTCTCGTACCTAGTACTTTAGCTCCGACGTACCGTTCATTCTCTGTTATGAAACTTATCTTTCACTTCGTCCTACATGCATTATATATAAGATATATCCTCTGATCTTCTTGTTTTGCTTCGCGGGTCTGGGCATGGCCTAAACTGATAGGCGTCAAACTTCCCTTGATCGCCCGACGTGGTGTGAGATTCTTCAAATAGATCTTTCGCTCGAGTACGGGACTGCCTTCCCTTTTATGCAATCGCTCGACTAATTTCTAGTTGCGTGATCGGCAGGTTAAGGATAAATTGATACCGCAACAAAGCGTCTAGTCTACCAGCTCAACAGAATCAGGTGCTCTTTTGGCCACTGGCAATCTAAAATGACGGGTGGCCCTAACCCTGAGCTTCACCAGCAAAAAAAGAACCCAACCTGGCAACGTATAGGGAGCATGAATCAAAATTCTCGGGCTGGCGATGACATGGAACCACGGCTTAAACATGGGATCCCGATGCAGGTGCTTCGATCCCTCTTGCTTGCAACATGGTTCAACTGCTGTTGTGTCGTCATCCTAGTGACTCAGGTGCTCGGTGCTCCTCTCTATCTAATAAGCAGGGATTATTATTATGCATATATGGCATACACGAAGCAGTCTTTCGGGCTGGTCATCACAGCTCTCACACAATGGGGCTGTCCGACATTTGTTCGCGTTAGTGGTGATAAGAGTGTACAAGGACAGATTCACCTGACAGAGGACGGCCGGTTGAAAACTGAATTTCCCGAGCGCTTGGTATTGATTGCTAATCACCAGGTCTATACCGATTGGATTTACCTGTGGTGGGTTGCTTATACGAACATGATGCATGGCCGCATTTTCATCATCCTCAAGGAGTCTCTCAAGTATATCCCGATTGTTGGTCAAGGTATGACGTTCTACGGCTTTATCTTCATGGCTCGCAAATGGCTATCCGACAAACCCCGGCTACAGCATCGGTTGGAGAAGTTGAAAACCCGGCATTCAGGCTCCAAATCGGAATCGTCTGAATACGACCCCATGTGGCTGTTGATATTTCCTGAAGGGACAAATTTGTCAATTAACACTAAGAGGCGTAGTGACGAGTATGGGCAAAGGCAAGGGTTTCCACCTTTAAA